CAATACATCACTATGAACTCCTTCGTCGTAACATGTTTCCGTTTTTCCGGTAGCATGATCACATAGTTCTATAGTCCTACCATATTATTAAAATATAGATTAAAAGTAGACGCAAAATATAAAAATATTTAAAAGGTAATGTCTACTTCCTTTATTGCATAACCACATTGAAATAAACATGTTCATTATTAATATATACGTCAGCAACGTTTCTGAAACTACAGTGATAGAAATTGTCCTAAAAACAACGTGCTCGTCTGCACTTAGCAAATTGCATCGCGACATGCCTCCTTGACGTCCCACAACACCACATCTTTACTTGGATGTGATGACCGCTAAGCACATCACTAGTGCTGTCGGTGCTGTAGTGCTGGGGCGTATTAATCACACTTGTTGTACATGTATACTGCTATTATGCGTGTAGGAGTGGGTGCGAGAGTGCGTGTGTGTGGTTGTATAAGCATATTGGTGAACATATATAAGTATTAGTAAATATTTCTTTCAAACTGTTAAATGCTAAGATGTTTGGCATTCCCTCTACCTTTCTTCTATGTAATCACTCAATTATAATCATATTATATATGTATATATTGATATTTATCCATCTTATGATGTACACATATGTTTAATTAAATTGTAAGGAAAGGGCGATTATAATTTTCATGTAACTTGTGCCCAATTCTTTTGCTGAATGTGATCGCAATAAAATATGTTTAAAACGAAACGTTTACTGGTATGATCAGCGCGAAGGGCGTCGTACGGGTAGATTGCAATGAAGGTAGGAAACCTGATTACCATGCTTTAATGTTACGTGAGATGAGACAGTCACATATGTATCCAGGACCAGCAAGACAGAAAATAGGAATTTCAATTCTGTATATTTCAAAAGTATGTTCATTTATCTGTAAAGTCTAGGACAACCACATAGCCTGTCTCCAGTACACATACACACAAACACGCATACACACATACACACATACACACAAACACACAAGCACACATACACGCATGCATAACACACACGAAGGTACTTCCTTAAAATATCGTAGCTGTTAATAGGACGTCAAACAAACAAAAACTTCTAAACCAACCTAGGGCGTTAATCTTAAAGAGCTGGAATGTAATGTTATAAGGGTATCCAGATCCAGAGTTGTTTGAAATGATACAGTTCTATCATTAGTTTTAAACATACGGTTTTTATGGAGCACATGCTGCATATTAAAGCACTGAACTGCTTTTATTTTGCATTCGTGTCAATATAAATACCGTCTTGAACCTGACAAGTTCCACAAAGCGCGCTAATTTTCACTACTTAGTTTAAAGTATTGAGTGGGGATATAGCAAATTTCTGGCTCCCCGGGATCAAGCTATTGCCCGAGACGAAATCGTAGAAAGGGAATAGGCCTGATAAAATGGCTAAAACCCATACTTGTTTTCCGCAACGAAACGAAATATAAAAAACTCCCGAATGACGATTACGGAATTCTTCAAATTCAAAATCAGGGAGAAAAATTAGTCCAGTTCAAGCCTCAGTCATTTTGATGGCGAAGTAATGGAAATTGTCGGGTATGCAAGTCTGCAGAAGTGTTTTAGTTTTCGGACATGCAGTAAGGCTATAGAACACTTAATCGCTGGACAGGGAATGTAGGGCAAACCCGGGATCGATTAAATCTAATGTTTGTCTGCAGGGGTGTTTTAGTTTTCGGACATGCAAATAGGCTATAGAATACTTAATCCCTGAACAAGGAATTCAGGGTAAAACCGGGGTCGAATAAATCTAGTTTAAGTCTGCAGAAGTGTTTTAGTTTTCGGACATGCAAATAGGCTATAGAATACTTAATCCCTGGACAAGGAATTTAGGGCAAATCCGGGGGTATCATTAATCTATTTGGCGATACCATCCCTTTTGTATTACCTGACCCTACCACGTGCACGTGCTCAGCTATTCTGTAGGTTCCGCTCCACTGAAGCGGAAAATAGAATGTTCAGTAAACCATCCAAATTTTATCTTTCCTCAGTCCGGCTTAGCGAGTATGCAGATCTTTCCCAGTACGCCATGTAGAAGTTATTGAGTATATATTGAGATCTACAAATTATCTTGCATTGAGCGAAATGTTAATGTTTTGTATTCAGGCGATGTTTTTGGAATTCTTTCACATTCCACGTAGTTACAAGAATTTGTTATCATAGTTTACCAATTAAATTCATATTAAATCGTCACTAATCTTCATTTCGTTTAAATTACCGGTCCATGTTATCTACAACGTTACATTAGCAGTTAACAAAGAAAGAATTAAACAAGAAAAACCATTATTACAAATATAATAATACTTATAACATTGCGATTAGAAGAAAATATCGTAATTGTGGTTTCATACTTCGTGTATATAGCATGACGTTTTACTCAAAATGCTTGCGTTATGTTGTAAAATTCTACATATTTTTCTCTACAATGAATGTTGGAACACACCAAGAAAAAACATTGATACTGTACGTTTAACGAGATTATATACCCGAATGGGCTTTACAAATGGTAAAACCATACACTTAAGCGTGTACTTAATGTTCTGTCTAACTGTTCATGACACGTGGAATCAACAAAGCCCGTTGGATATTTACAAAACAATGGAGCAGCATGTGTACTGTAAATAAACAACTAACACATGAAAGATTAAACACTGATAATTTACTACCATTCTTGAGTATATGGATTCTTTTATAAACAACTACCTCGTAAATTGTGAACAACTACATTATCCAGATCTGAAATATACGATAGATTTGACTTAAGACTGCAATTTAAACTTTTGAAATGGATTTAAATGTCTTCAGTCCATATTGTTAGTACGGATCGCTGTGAGTAATGGTAAAATTATAGGTTATTGTAACCGATCATTTATTAGGTTATTATATCTTTGTTAATACCCACACTTCACTCATCCTTTAATTAGAAATTAACAACGTCTCCTTTATGGTTCGAAACTCATTAAGATGTAGTGGTTTCAACAACACTCCTACTCCTTTCTCGTTTCTCACCTGTTCGGCCAGTACCACGAACGAAGAGTCCCGGAAGGACGACGAAACAGATGCATGGTACAATGCAATTCATTATTTGGCATACAGTATCTATTACATATGTACCTTGTTATAAATACAATCATCCGTATGCGAGTATGTGTGTGTGTGTGTGTGTGTGTGTGTAGGTGTGTGAGGGGGTGGGGGATTTCGTTCATCTTTTAATATACGGTATCAGAAACGACAGGGTTTTGTGTCACAGTCCTTTATTTCACTTACAAGTCTAATATGTCACTCTTTATAGAACTTTCTTGGGTTCTGAGATTGATTGTATGTATGTAAAAAAAGTTGTACATATAAGACATTGTAGGACATTTTTGATAAGTATAGTGTTAATTGATATTGATTGTTGTTGAAGACCGAGGTTCAGTTTTTCGCGACAACACGTGAACACGTGTTCAGCTTGTGTACGTTAGTGCGTATCGCTAAGGTATAGGGTATTGAAATAACTGTATGTAGATATTGCGGGATGATCCTTTTCTACATTTTGGCGGAACGAAATCAATTTATGAGAACTGTGACCTTTTTTCTGAAAACGAGTACGAAATTAGAAATCCCAGCAGGACCTAGAACGTTTCACTGAAGGAGCTTTACCTATAGCTGTGACGACAAAGTAATGCTAAATAAAGACCATTTTTAATCATAAATTACAAATTAAAGAAAATCTTCTCAATTATGTTTGATAAAAGAAGTATTTTAATTCATTTTAACGTTGCTTTACGATATACAATCCTCCTTAATAGTGAACTATGTGACTATTTTATTGACTGGTTAAACTATTTATGACATAAATGGCATAATATCTAAATATTCGCCTCCGTAATTAGACATTAAAACGATTTATCTCTATTTCGTTGAACAGTGGCCTATAATTTTTCCAGCGTCATGGGGACATTAAGCCATGCTGCATACTCGACCGACATTTTTTTGTATTGTGACTACTATGAATATATATATTGCTCATTATATTTATAACCGTTTTATTCATATTTTGAACATGTCGCATGTAATCTTTAAGAAGTACCCATTTTATGTCGAGTAGAAGTGATAAAATTATGGTCCTGCATTTTGTTGTCATCTTGTCTTTCGTCCATCTGATACTTTTCTGTCTATCCGATTACGTAATAAAAACGGACGAATACTAACGCATGTTGTATATCGTCGTCTGGCGCGAACTGCGTCAGTGTTTCCGTCTTAAAACCTTTTTTTACTTTAATTATAATGTAGAACACTTTTAGAATGTATTGAATATTTACATTTATGTTGCCTATAGGTTTCACGTCATTTAATGACCTTAGCTGTTGATAGGACGTTACACCCTTCACAACCAACCAACAACCTGGGGTTTATTAGTAATATTCATAAGTCATGCGTACTAACATTGAGTTGTATTTGAAAGAATTGCTGACATTGATGTCTTGCTACACGTGGGATCTGTTTATTTCTTTCTCCCTTCCCTACTCAGTCCGTCCGGTTGTGTCTCTCTAGCTCAATCGATAGAGCGTAAGACTAGTAAACCACAGGTCCCGGGTTCGACTCCTAGTGGCGGCATTGAAAAAAATAAAGACTTTTGTCAAACTTCGTTCCGGCAGGATTATACTACATCGGCCTGTTTATTTTTGCGGAACAACCGGTTTGTCTGTTTTTAAATTTAACAGTTCAGGGTATAAATTCAGACAGACCTTCAAATGCAGCATCAGATTACTAGGTCCGACCTTACTTCATAAACGAACAACTCTGGTCCAACCGGTCCAACCGTTTGGTTTGCGATAAACGAAAGCGGCCCATGTATGTATGTCCCTGATCAGACGATGTATCCTGCAGTAGGATGCATATTCATATAACGGATACAAACGCAGCAGTCACATAGAGGACGAATGACATGTTTAATCATAGTCTAACATTTTACCTTTTTATTATAACAGCAGGAACTGAGGCGGCGTCAGTGACTAGCCTATCCACCTGTTCTACTGGCTTAGCCGGAGCCCATCTCATCGCCATACATGGCAAGGGTAAGTAGACACACGCCTGTACTAGACTTATTGTCGGCGAAAATGTTAATCAATATTCGCACCGAAAATCCTTCAGTTTGGGAACTACAATTTGTCCCTATACTTCTTAGGGCACGTGTATAGTATGGTCAAACTAGTTACCTGTTATCGTCCAAATGGTGGGGCGTACAGAGCCATCGATTTCTTCCAGGCATATCTATACTCGCGAATTTATGCTCACTTATGCACTTTAGTAGAGATGCCAAAATGTCTAAAACAATTAACTCAAACTACCTGTATGTGGAGGGTAATTAGTGTTTTGAAAAGAGAGAATGTAATTAAACAAAATGTGTGAAAATATTTGTTTTATTTATAAAAAAAGGTCCTCAATCATACCAGAAGACACAACATTTATTATGCCATGATGACGCAAAATTATTGATTTTTACACGAAAATTTGGTCACCCCTCACATAATTTCTCAATAGGGGTATGACCTCCCATTGGGAGATTCATGGGTTAGCAGGTATGCTCTACACCCCGAAATATGTCATGACAAAATTGTAGGCATGCAGCTAGTTATTTGATTGGTCTCAGGTAGAAAAAACAAATCTTCGCTAGGCTGACCACCTGTCATTTGAAGATTACAGAGGGACGACGCCCAATTTCAAAGTCGTATAGTGTAATTGTACCGTTACCCTGCCGCGAGGTTCATTTGACGTACATCAAAGGGTCAAACTAGCCTACATGTACGTATCATCCACAATGTGGTAAACACGGAGACTTCGATTTTGCTATCACATATTCTAGGGACGCTGAGAACGCAACTGAGTGTAACCCCTTGAATTTTAAGGATGATTTCGGGGATGCAGAGAACATGTGAGCAAAACCGCTGGAATGGCGATTTAGGGGTTATTCTTATATATTTTACGATTCTTTCTTTTGAATTTATACTCCAGTATTCTTATCATGCTATGTAAAATATCATTAACACACAATATGTTCCAGTACAGTTTGGACAGTCCAACAGAAACTTTCATTTTTCATTCGCAGGATTTTCGTCTGATCAGTTCAACATGTTTGAGGACTCCAAGGGGAATGTTGTGAGCTGGTTTTCGGACACGGGCGAGTACGCGTGTGACGTGCAGAAGGAAAGCAGCACAGACAAGAAGATCGTTTGCTATACCAAGTAAATAAATATCTATGTCAAACTATCGTACCATCTTCGAAATCCAAGGGATCCGCTCAGGTACAAAACTCATGACACATTGCTAGGCTAGTCAAACGCATCCTTTATGGTGGCTCATATATGTCTTTTGTCTTTTCGCTTTGTCGTTGGTAAAAAAGCCAAGCTATAACTCATAAAGTAAGTGAACAGACAAAAACCTGCCAAAGCAAAACGTCTTTTTAGTTTTTACGCATTCGCGTTATTTCGTTTTTTAGCTTTGACCTTATTGCGCTTTGGCTGGCTTCGTCTTTTCGTTGTTCTGTTTTGTTGCGAAGCATTTTTTGCGAGCGACAAAGCCAGACCACGAAATGTTACTGGTATATATATATACATACTGTTAGCGAACATAGTCCTTTGCAGATTACAAGGAAATACACCCAACTTGTTTTCCCGATATACAAATGTTTTGAAAACAATCATTCCTTGAAAAAACCCACCGAAAATAAACCAACCAAAGAATAATGTATTAACCAACTTAAACCAGCAACGATAAAGACAGCAATGTATTGTCACATGTGAGAATAAAAATGTTTAACAACGGATTTCAATCAAAAACCTGGACTTCAAAATTGTAATTTAGCTACTACACAGTTCCTTAGATCTTCATCAAATTTATCAGACTAGTCTTCCTGTATCATGCTAAAGTAGGCGTGCATAGAGCTTTTTAAATAAGTCAGTGCAGTCTGCTACAGCCCGGTCTTCCCTGAACTCCAGCGGTTACCCGCACCTGGAATATGTCATGACAAAAGTTAAGGCACAAGGATAGCCATTTGATTGTTTTTTTAGTTGAAGAAAAAACTAACCAATCACTAGGCTGATACCTGGACTCTGAAGATTTCAAAAAGAGCGAAATCTAACTTCAAATTCCATCCATTTTACCTTTACGCTGCACATATGCATGCGTTCACAACAGTTGGCGCGTTTTGTCATGATATATTCCATGGGTGCTGTTACGGTAAGTTAGAGTTACCCTGTAATTTCGAGGATGGACATATTGTAGAGAAAGTACAGTTTGTCAAGAGGGGAACCCTTGGATTTTGAATGATAGCTCATTGCTTTGCTGCCAATCTACGACCAAGTCGCCATAGATGATCCAGTACTGAATTTGGTAGGATTACAGTGTATGAAATGACATTGTGTCCTGCCTGCAATCTATATGCAACAGGAGATGACAAAATGCATGGTCAGACCGGGGTTCGAACCCTGGACCCTCCGAACTCTAGACGGAAGCTACCTGATCACTATATATATATCGTACATGTATGTATTAGGACATTTTAAGGTATGCTAACATTTAAGTTAGTATATACAATGATTTGTATGCATGTGCCAATGAGTGTCGAAAAGATACAACATGGACAGAGAGTAGTAAATAGAAGTGTCTATGTTGCCCTTAATATCTAGAGCTACCCAGAGTTGTCGTTCTTTACAGTCACTATAGTGATAGCAAGAAAGTGTAAAGAAGGACAACTCTGGGTAGCGATTGCATCGTCCTAACGTGACGGGGGAAAGAACTGGGGAAACTTTTGAGATTGGACCTAATGACGGCTAAATGGTATGAGCTATTTTCAAAGTAATATTTATATTCGTCAAAGAATAAGTGCACTACATTATGTTAATTATGAAAACAAAGCAGTTTCTTGGACGTAAATAATATCTTTCAAAACCTCCATTAAAAAGTGCTCTAAAATTTAAAATTCAAATAACTTTTGTTAATAGCAAAATCATGATGTCTTAGATCTGTTATAATATGCTGTGTCAAGGTGTTTTAAACTTTTTAAAATCTGTTGGGTCAGTGCTTCAATCTGAATTAATTCTGTTGTATCTTAGAACTATTATAAGTCTTTTTGTGTCAACTTTTAGGCACATGCCCGAGGGAGAATACCAGTTGAAGGTGTCGGTGGACGGAGTTAACATCCCCAGCAGTGAGATATCCGCATGTACCCTCACAGTAAGTACTGTACCCTCACGGTAAGTCTTGTACCCTCACAGTAAGTCTGGTCCCCTCACAGTAAGTCTTGTCCCCTCACAGTTAGTCTTGTACCCTCACAGTAAATCTGGTAACCTCACAGTAAGTCTCATACCCTCACAGAAAGTATTGTACCCTCACGGTTAGTCTGGTACCCTAACAGTAAGTCTCGTACCCTCACAATAAGACTTGTACCCTCACAGTGAGTCTCATACCCTCACAGAAAGTATTGTACCCTCACAGTTAGTCTGGTACCCTCACAGTAAGTCTCGTACCCTCACAGTAAGTCTTGTACCCTCACAGTTAGTCTGGTACCCTCACAGTAAGTCTCATACCCTCACAGTAAGTCTTGTACCCTCACAGTAAGTCTTGTACCCTCACAGTAAGTCTGGTACCCTCACAGTAAGTATTGTACCCACACAATTATTCTTGTACCCTCACAGTAAGTCTTGTACCCTCACAGTAAGTCTGGTACCCTCACAGTAAGTATTGTACCCACACAATTATTCTGGTACCCTCACAGTAAGTCTTGTACCCTCACAGTAAGTCTGGTACCCTCACAGTAAGTATTGTACCATCACAGTAAATCTCTAGTCAAATTTATAGTATCAGCAATGTAACGAGTTATTTTAAACCATGTTACTATGATGCAAGTCTCCTTAAGCTAAATCAATTTGACATGTATCACCTTAATATACTTTTAAAGTGACACGTGTCACCTTCAGACTTGTAACTGCCACAGCTAAGTCATGATAATTTGACAATTTGTTTGTGTCACCTAATTTTACATGTTACTATGACATGTGTCACTTTAAGACCTATTACTGTGACATGTGTCACCTTAAGCCATATTATTGTGACATGTGTCACCATAAGCCTTGTTTCTGTGACATGTGTCACTTTTAACCATGTTCCTTTGATTTTTGTCATTAAGGCAGATTTAGAACCTTGTCAAAGGGAGATAACTCTTGTTAAAAGCACAAAGTTTTGAATGGAGTGTTGGGGGGTGGGGTGGGTTTGGGGGAGTTCAAATGCTTGTGGGAGGTGTCGGGAATGTCCTTTTTTATATAACTACATAGGTACCGTAAAAACCCATGTAACTTGCGCACCTATGTAATTTGCACAGGTACTTTTTGAGGCTGAAAATCCCCCAAAAAGCTTCTACTCAAATATTTTGTGCACCAAATGTTTTTTGAAAAGACAAACCGCTTGGGATTCTTAAGATTTTTGTAATTTGTTTATTATAAGTGAGTTCATAAGTATCGTTTAAAGGTACAATATCTTTTAAAGATAACCTCAAAATGCACAAAAATGAACCAAAGAGAAGCAAAACTGTTTTTCTCTAGAAGTATAATAAAATTATTGCAAGTCTCCAGACATCGCTAACAGATTTTCACACTTCTCAAGGACACTGTTTTAAAATCTTAGACCACCTTTTCCCATTTCCTGGATTCACCCCTGATTTCTCTGTGTTAGAACATTTAAGAAGTGTGTAACACAGGTCGTTTATTTAATTACACCAATAAAGACCCCTGTTTTAATGTTTTTTATTTTATTCATTTCAGGTGAAACAATCCCATACTCCAACCATTGACACCATAACACACTCATGTGAACCAGGTACGCTTTACGATGATGGATTTGTTTTTTTGTGTGGTTTCTTTAGAATTTTACATCCTTAAGCAACTGAGCTATCTGGATGTCCATATGAAAATGGGCTGAAAAGTCTTTACTGTAGCCTACTGTATATGGGAAATTTTTCGCTGCAGTTAAATTTTTTGCTCTCCATAATGAGGGTAAATGTTCTTATTAATATACTTAAATGTGAAGGACGAATTTCGTGTTTTGTGAAAACGAATTTTAGCGTTGAAGGGGGAGGGGGATTTGATTGGGTGTAAATTTCCCTGTAAACAATAATAAATCATGTTGACACTTATGTACACCTTCTTATGAGTTACAGATATGCAAATTAAGAATTGAACTGAACCTATATATGTAAACAAGATTTTCAATATCAAATTAATGATGTTTTATTTTGTATATAACAGGAGAGATAGGCTTATCTTGAGATCACTTTGAGATCTTATGAAATGGGCTCCTCTCTGATTTGTACTTTTAATAGTTACGTAAAAAAAGATATCCAAAGCAAGGCAAGGATTTGAACCCAGGTCCCTCCAAACTCTAGACGAAGGCTCTACTTATTGAGCTTCCTGGTCGCTGGCAAACGACTAAGTCCTGCAGTTCAGATGCAATTCTCCCTACTTTTTCTCTTCTTTGCCGTCGATAACACGACTATTAACAACCAAGCTTGGCATATCCCCTTACCAAGCATTCATCTAGTATTTGAAACAAGTGGTGGCAAGCTTGCCAATTTTTCAATAAGAGAAAGAAAAATGCAAGCCAGACCAGAATTTGAACTCCAGACCCTCCAAACTCTAGACAGACCCTCTACCATTTGAGCCACCTGTTCACTGATGAAGGGCACCGTTCAAGTTCCGCCTCATGCTAAAAGATATGAAGAGAGTTGGTATGAAGAGAGAATCTAGAATATTATGTGTAACCCCACTGTGATTTTTGTTTTACAGGGTCGATTTTGAACGTTACGGGCAAATTTTTTACGGACAAATATGGAAGCAACATTGCTTCATCTTCCAATGGCAGAACGCAGAAAATCTTAAGGTAAAGTTCATACCAATCCAAACACTCACTACAGCTTCCTCTTATTTCTTCCGATGTCCTCAATCTGAACATTCAAGTTGACTGATCCTGTACTCTTATCATTATACCTGTTTTGCTTTGATAATAGATTAAACATATCAAAATTATTATCCACAGTTATGATATTGATGCTATTTCTTAATTACAAAATGTATTAATTACATGATTGATATTAGTTGAAATAACTTGTTTCGTAACTGTTGTAAAGATGAAGGTTTATATATATTCTTGTTTGGGATTCACTGAAATATTGCAATTATTTTGTTTGCACTGTTAATTGCCATTACTTTTTTGCTTATATACACATGGCAATGATAATATGCATGAAATGTTAGCAAATTCCAGTGTTGAGGGGCTAGGAGGGTCCTTAGGTTCAACCCCCACCCCCTACCCCGTCGAACAACAGCAAAGATGTCCCAACGCAGGAGGTCCCTCATATACAATGTACCACATATCTTTTTCACTTGACGTTTTCTGCAATATATATATATCAACAATTTCTCATTATATAGTTATACATACATTTGTATCTATAACTATAAGAAGTACATATGAATTTTTAGCACAAATTTAAATAGTTTTGTTTTTATTGATATAAATATTTCCTTTCTTGAAACAGGGTATATTCCGGTGGCAGTGAATGTTCTCTCAAGGACCCAGTCACACAAAAACTGTAAGTAAACAAATGCTACAATATTCAAATTCATTTCTGTTCTTAATCAATGTTAATTTTATGTATTTGTGTTCATATATGAAGCATTAAGTCTGATTGATAAATCAAGGAAATTGGTATTCTTAATATAACTTGAAACTTCACTTGTTTTCTTATTTTTTTGACAAATTTATTTGCTTTCATTTCAGGGGGCCCAATCTTTTTTGAAAATATATGTCATACTATCTTAAGCCTGTTTTATTTTCTGGGTCCCGGTTGGTCTAAAATCCAGGAAGGCTGACATGGCAGTTCTTCTTGATTTTTTTTAAAAATCTTCAATTTTGTCATTCTTATTTTTTTTTATAAAATCCTACTTCTCTAGATCAAGCTTACTTCTGACCCGGAAATTAAATGATGAATGAGGATTAATAGAGATGAGGGGGGTGGGGGTGGGGGGGGGGATGTGGGACCCATGGCTGATCGGCACTTGTCTTACAGGGGAAGTTTTTCGTTAAACATGTGTTCAGATTATTTGGGTTCAATCCAAAAACCAGGGTGTCTTCTGACATTGACAGTATTGTTATTTTTCACTAAGATTTAACTCATTCATCCCTGAAATTTCATAATGAACTATTCCAACCTTTGAATTGGAGGAATTCAAATGTGTCTTCAGGGGTGAATGAGTTAATATGACAGCTATCAAACATGTTCCATTCCTTTAAAGATCTCTGGTCTCTTGTTGTTTTATTCTTGTTTAAGAAAATGAAAAAGTTGGGTTAACAAAATTCAAGTAATGAAAATAATCTGGATATTTTTACAGATACGGTATTGAACTTGAACAGCGACAAGATGGAAGATACAAGGATAATGGTTATTTACTCTGCCGGATGCAGGGCACATATGTTGGTAAGTATGGAGTAGAGGACATTATATAGAGGGTTGTAGGGCACATATATTGGTACGTATGGAGTAGAGGACATTATATAAAGGGTTGCAGGGCACATATGTTGGTAAGTATGGAGTAGAGGACATTATATAGAGGGTCGTAGGGCACATATGTTGGTAAGTATGCAGTAGAGGACATTATATAGAGGGCTGTAGGGCACATATATTGGTACGAATGGAGGAGAGGACATTATATAGAGGGTTGTAAGACACATATATTGGTAAGTATTGAGTAGAGGACATTATATAGAGGGGTATAGGGCACATATATTGGTAAGTATGGCGTAGAGGACATTATATAGAGGGCTGTAGGGCACATATATTGGTAAGTATGGCGTAGAGGACATTATATAGAGGGTTGTAGGACACATATATTGGTAAGTATGGCGTAGAGGACATTATATAGAGGGTTATAGGGCACATATATTGGTAAGTATGGAGTAGAGGACATTATATAGAGGGTTGTAGGACACATATATTGGTAAGTATGGAGTAGAGGACATTATATAGAGGGATGTAGGACACATATATTGGTAAGTATGGAGTAGAGGACATCATATAGAGGGATGTAGGACACATATGTTGGTGAGTATGGAGTAGAGGACATTATATAGAGGGTTGTAGGGCACATATGTTAGTAAGTATGGAGTAAATATTCAAAGTCGTAAATAGGGGTTTTAATTGGAACTCTTCTCGCAATTATGAATCGGGCACTGTTACACTTTTCCATAATAATGAAAACTGTTATAAACTACATTATTTCAGTTTAAAGTTTTTGTGTTTTTCAGGGAACATAAATGTCAGCATCATCATAGAAGATTTTGGAAGGTAAGAATGTGTGTTGTAAATGTTGAGCAGTAAATTAACTTAGGAACACTAAATCATGCAGACTTAAACAAAGTTTAATTTTGGCATGAAATGCCAGCTCAGGAAAGTTGTGCTTTCACTACATGTAGTTGCATTAGTAGACTATTTGACATCAGTGACAACCAGTATCGGTGGCATCAACACCTACAGTATCGTTGATGTAAGTTTGCTGGTATTAATGCCAAGTGGTTTAAGCTTATGATGTTTCATTAATGGTATATACTGGAAATTTTCACCAGAGTTTAACTTTCATCTTTTTCGCGGCCCACCCTAATGTGGGAGTATATATCATTACAGTGACCATATGTGAACAACATATTGAACAGTTATTTGATGTGAGGGGCGAAATGAACAATATAGTGAACAATTATTTGATGTAAGGGGCGAAATGAACAATATAGGGAACAGTTATTTGATGTGAGGGGAAAAATGAACAATATAGTGAACAGTTCTTTGATGTGAGGGGCGAAATGAGCAATATAGTGAACAATTATTTGATGTAAGGGGCGAAATGAACAATATATTGAACAGTTATTTGATGTGAGGGGCTAAATGAACAATATAGTGAACAGATATTTGATGTGAGGGGAGAAATGAACAATATAGTGAACAGGGATTTGATGTGAGGGGCGAAATGAGCAATATAGTGAACAGTTATTTGATGTGAGGGGCAAAATGAACAATATAGTGATCAGTTATTTGATGTGAGGGGCAAAATGAACAATATAGTGATCAGTTATTTGATGTGAGGGGCTAAATGAACAATATAGTGAACAGTTGTTTGATGTGAGGGGCGAAATGACCAATATAGTGAACAGTTATTTGATGTGAGGGTCGAAATGAACAATATAGTGAACAGATATTTGATGTGAGGGGAGAAATGAACAATATAGTGAACAGTTATTTGATGTGAGGGGCAAAATGAACAATATAGTGATCAGTTATTTGATGTGAGGGGCTAAATGAACAATATAGTGAACAGTTGTTTGATGTGAGGGGCGAAATGAGCAATATAGTGAACAATTATTTGATGTAAGGGGCGAAATGAACAATATAGGGAACAGTTATTTGATGTGAGGGGCAAAATGAACAATATAGTGATCAGTTATTTGATGTGAGGGGCGAAATGAACAATATATGAATATATGCACGGTTATATTGGACCTGAGAAAGTGATATTGACCTCGACTTCTTGGTCAATATCACTTATCTCAGGTCAATATAACAACATTTAAATTCACAATTGATAGATAAATATTACCTGACCTATTGAACAATGTAACTAATGGGCTGTATAAGATGTACCCAATATTACAGTAGCTGATGATCAGATAAACATCTAGTGATGATTTGGGGGCACACATCCAATATGTTTATTTCTTTCTGTGACACTTTCATTTGTAAATTTCCTGAGGACAGTATTATGTCCACCTCTGGGTATTTTGGAATCCTGTTTGATCATTTAAATTTTGTTACTGTTCAGTTTTGTATATATATTACATATTTAAATGGCTAATTTCACTCCAACAGAACTGACCCCAAGTTGACAACGAAAATTCTGAGTGCAGAAAGTGTGGTATACATGACACAGACATATGCTGGTAAGTAGATAAAGGTATGACGTCAATAATAACGTGAATCAAATATACAATGTAGCTTCATTTAACTTGAACCAAAACTGGGCTCGCTCACTTGCAACAATCAGCACTACAGTGTTGCGGAACCATACTGGGTCAATGGTTGCAAACCTGGTAGCTCAATCGGTAGAGCATCCGTCTAGAGTTTTGGTGGGTGCCAGGTTCAAACCCCGGTCTGGCCGTTGCATTTCTCTTTCTCCTGTTACAAAGTTTGCGCCCAACAAAATATACCCACAGAAGGCAGTACAGGGGCTTGTATGTCTTGGGGATTGAAGACTTTGTTAAAGGAGAGGAAATATAATGGAACCAGACTGGGTCGATCTCGGGCGACCAGGTAACTCGGAGGGTCCTGGGTTCGAACCCCAGTCTGGCCGTTGCATTTCTCTTTCTCCTGTTACAACAGTTAACACTAAGTCTAAATTAACACTGTTGTAAAGGTCGTTAGTGTCAAGTAATAATGTGGTTAACAATGAATATTGCAGTAAAGGTCAAAGGTCACATACAATACAGTCAATATCACCTAATCCCTTGTTCAAATAAATTGGGATTAAATAAATTTTAAACTATAAAAGTCTTAAACATTGCTTATCACATGCAAGGATCTCCGTACCACTGCTCAAAACTGTAACTAAAGGTTGAAAACTGTTTTCCAGTGTCATATACAATTTTCATCTCCCATAAAATACTCATTCAGATGGATATTGAATGCATAAAATACTCATGCAGATGGATATTTAATGCATAAAAATACTCATGCAGATGGATATTTAATGCAGAAAATACTCATCCAGATAGGATAATCTTATGGGGAGGAATATTTTATAGGACACCGGCATGACTAAAGCTTTGATAAATCATTCCTGGGAAAAAAAACTTACCTTGCGGGACCTTTTTGAGAAATGATAGATAAACAAGAAATAAACTATGAAACAACAACAGTATTTTGAGTGTAATAATTCACTGACCGGGATTCGAACCCTGAACTTCAGATTGTTATACAATCACTCTAACTGATTGAGCTATACCTGGTCAGTGGAAGTGTCCAATGGGTGGTGCAGTGGATGGCGCACTTGCCTTTCACCAAGGCGGCCAGGGTTAGATTCGATGTGAAAAGGTATTGCGGGTCACCTGCCCGACCACGTGGGTTTTCCCCGGGTTCTCCGGTTTCCTCCTACACTAAGACCCCCGCACACTACCATCCTGGCCAACAAGAGTGATAGATATAAGTTGAAATAACTTGTTTGATAATTGATGTTAATTAGATAAAATATATTAAATGACCTTAGCTGTTGATAGGACGTTGTGCTCTGTAAAACAATTAACAGAATCGGCCTAGCCAAACTGTGCTACAGCTCTATCCAAATGGAAGTCAAAGGGAGGTAACTGTATTGTTAAGGTAGAAAACACAGTGTTGTAATTTCAGGGATCCTTAACACTGAAATAAATGACACTTAAGTCCAAACATTGTACTAAAGATGTAAAGTTACAGTTAGTTATGCACGCCTCACATTATAAGTCTAAAAATTTAGTCTTGCAGAAATCATATTTGATGGAAAACTAAATATAAAAAGTGGAACTGCAAATATAAAATACAGTATTTCAAACTATCCTATTAAGCTTGTTAGTTTTTAGCTTCTCATGGTCATCTCATATCATTACAAAAACATAAAATGTAATTCGCACCTTTCCTTTAAATTAATAGTCTCCATTTAAAACTATATTTGACATTCTTTGCTTATGAAATAAAAAAAACACCTGCATGTCGTTAAAAGGACACCTTTCCCAAATTGTGACCATCTCAACCTCTATTTCAACACTGTAGGCACGAAAGTCTAGTGGTAGGACGCCAGGCTTGTGACCAAAGGATTGTGGGTTCGAGTCATGGCACGGCACTGAGTTGTATCTTTGAACAAGATATTTGCTCTGCTTGTTCCAGTCTACTCAGCTGTAAATGAGTATGTGGTTGGGCAGTGCTAGAATTGTAGAATGCTAGCTGTGAGCGCCGAAATGGCAGGACCTGCTGTATTTGCTTCCCAGGGAGTTAAAAAAGATATTGGATGGTTGCATGAAGGCCCTATAACCACGGAAAATATCATTTTTAAATGCATTTAAAACCTTGAATTGTTCATTATTATGATTTTTGAATCTAAAGTACTTCTATATTACATGGTATTAGCGTGATGTTTTTCTCTTTACAGTCATAACAAACGTCAATCCAAACCAAGGGAGTGTGGCGGGAGGAACCAACATCACCGTCACCGGACGAAACTTTGATAAAACAGACGCAAATGTGAAAATAGATCTCGGAGGTATGAATGACTTTAGAGGGGTGGCCATCTGAAATATGTTCTAGAAGGTCCATTCTTATGAAAAAATGAGGGCATCCTTTGACAGCTAGGGTGTGCTCACCTATCTTCAAAAAGGGCCCTTGGCCCCTGGGGTACTTGCTAAAAACAGATAAATTAGTCGAATGCTCCGGTCAGTAGACTTCATTGTTAAATGTTATGATTTGATGCCCAAAGCATACAATTTCTTGACAGTTGGTCGTTCCTGTTTATGATAAACAGCTCTCTAGTTGAATAGCCTTCCCAATAAGAATACATCGAGGATACCTTTAATTCAGGGCCCAGTTCCTCAAAATGTTATTTACTTAGTCACTGTCAACAAAATGTTTCAACCTCTAATAATTCAAATAGTATACAAGGAAACAATTTGTAATTTTACATGTAATTTTTTCGGCTAAAATATTTGCTCTCTGGAAAGTTTTTAAGTCGGTTAATGGTTGTATTTTTAAAATAAACAAACAATAATTTGTGCTTACAACTGGTTAACCCTTTCACCACTGTTGACCATAATGGACTCATCCATATCAATGCATGGCTGAGTCTACTAAAGTTACATAGGGGTGAAAGGGTTAAGCTAGTAATCTTCTTTTGAACAACTGGGCTCTTGCTGGTAAATCTAATGAAGTGCCATAAAATATGGGAAGACTATGAGTAGATTATAGAATTGAATAACAAGTTACATCTAATTATAGTAAATAATACTGTTCTGGCTCATTTTAAGGATCCCACACTTTCGCGATTGGAGATTTTCAATGCAAGTGATACAACTCTGTAGTCGAAACATTATTCAAACGAAATCTATTCAAGGGTAGATAGCAACATTGTGGAAATGGTAATCAGGGGCAGGTGACTCTAACACTGAAAAGCGACAGTGGAATTCTGAAGTGTTTTGCTCTGCCTGGGACGGGGATCCTTAAAGCTTATATCAGCGTTTGTTATTGACTTTAACTCTAAATATATAGGATCACTGCCAGAACTATATTCAAAGCTTTTAGTATGTTTGCTTCCAAATAATTTTGCTTAATAGGAAATCAAGATCCTTTTTAAGATCTTGTTTCAGCCGAATGTAGGTATAATACAATTTCTAAATTTAGAATCATTATGATCATTAATTGATTCATCAGAATTTTTACTTGACTTAAATGTTCGTTCTAATGTTTACAGGCGTGCCATGTTTGTACCCAACCTATCACAGCCAGAGTACGATGACATGTATAAGTCCGGCTAAACCTGCTCAGACAAAGGCTGTGTACCCAGGTAAAGTTGGGGAGTCACTTATTTATAATACTTGACCTCACCACATTTTCGTATCAGCGGATGACATTTTCAGTATAGTGGCATGTATCATAATGTACACACTTTACTACTAATTATTCAATTATACAACCTGCCCATTCCTTTTAATATTATAGTTTAGAACTTTAATAAGATTCATCAGTTTTGAAATATATATATAATATATACTGTAATATCAAAGTTTTACTTTCTATACACAAATACTGTACGACAGATCCCTTTGTCAAGCTTGAAAATGTAAGGGTGAATGAGTTTATTAATCATCAGTTAGTAAAGGGTAGGCAATTAATGATAAATCACAAAATTTCAGCCGATTCCCAAACCAAATTTTTCATCACCTGATAAATTAACATTTAACATTTGCGGACATCTCTGTACCTGACTGAATTTTCGTATCACTTTATATCACCTGTCTAGATATTGATATCACCTGTCAAGATATTTATATCACCTGTCGAGATAACTACATCATCTGATTCCATCTTTTATATCACCTGCCTAGATATTTATATCATCTGTCTAGATATTTTTATCACCTGTCGAGATATTCATATCACCTGTCTAGATATTTGTATCACCTGTAGAGATATCTATATCATCTGATTCCATCTTTAATATTACCTGCCTAGATAGATCTTCACATAACATTCCCCTTACTCTGACTACACATAACTTGTGGTGATGTCAGATTAGAGCTCTTCCATCACAATAATGTCACTGTAAAGTGTTTTTTTATGTTACAGGTTTTAAAAATTATTCCTAATGTAGACATTGTCAGCGTATATAACGCAATCCATGTACAATGTTATCAGTATAAAGCCATTTTATTTACGATATTGTCTCTCAAATAATTCCATTTCCAAATTGTCAGTGTACAGTCATTGTGATGCTGTTAAAAAATAATCTATTTACAATATTGTTTCTGTCAATGCATTGCATTTATGACATTGACAAGTGCGAAGCTATGTCATTGTAGTATTAATAGTTCCTGTAATATTTTCAATTGAAAGCAATTGTCATTTTAAAAATATCAGTGTAATACCATTAAATGTATGGTTTTGTCAGCTGGTTGAAATAGTTCATTATGACATTTTAGGGGTGAATGAGTTATTTGAAACTGCTTTTTCAAGAATGCCAATTTCTTTTAATGGGCATCCATGACATGCAATACAAGAGAAGTTATCCTGTAACAATTTTACTGTAGGAGGACGAGGCGTAACTGTGGAAAAATGGTCAACAACTCAGGTGACCAATCTGGATGATATCCTTAACCTGACAAGTACCGCCAGTGACTACACGAAAATGCGCCAGGAGCGTATGTACTACAAGGACACGACAACCAACAACCAATACGTGGTCAGGTTATCAATCCTCTTCAAAGTAACAGAAACTGGCACCTACAGGGTATATGTGGCGGGTTCGGGCGGCGCTCAAGTACATCTTGACCCAACAGGGGGAACTAATCCGGTGAGCATATTTTGATATTAGTAAATCATGTGGCACCTCTTTTGGCAATATTATTATAAATATCCATTTCATAGAATTCTAACCGTGATGCGTTACTAGGCAAAAACACTTTTTACTGCAAAATTCAACATTGTGTCTAATGGGTTTAATGTCAGAACAGATCGACACAAAATATAAATTATAATCACTAGAGGAAACACTTAGTAGTTCTCTAATACCTATCAAGTCAAGTTTTATAACAAAATTGACGTCAAATGAAGTCACAAAATACAATAAAAATGTAACCTTAATCAACATAGAATCCAATGGGAAAATGATGTAGTAGGAAAGATTATGGCACGTCACTGTATATTGACATCTGATTTTTACAAATTATTGATATTGGACCTTGTCGTTGTGATTGTTTCATGACTCAAGTCCTTCATTTAATTATTGAAATCTGGACTGGTCTAAATTAAGGTATTGATATCTGTCCTAATTTTGTCTGTCTGAACGACATACATTCAGGGATACGATGGAGCCACCACTGACGTGTTGATGTCTATACTAGTACATCACAGTAACATGAGACATGATCTTGATATTGTGATTTACATTTGACCTTGGCATTGTGATTTACATTTGACCTTGCCATTGTGATCTACATTTGACATTGCCATTGTGATTTACATTTGACCTTGGCATTGTGATTTACATTTGACCTTGCCATTGTGATTTACATTTGACCTGGACATTGTGATTTACATTTGACCTTGACATTGTGATTTACATTTGACCTTGACATTGTGATCTCCATTTGACCTTGTGATTTATATCTGACCTTGACACTGTGATTTCTAACTGATGTTGTAATTTTTTTTTTCAATTTAAACTTTCTCAGGGGTCATTTGTAGCCACATGTGTAAATACCTGTAGTAGCTACAACAAAGTCTCTGAAGATTATCAGTTCAGCAAGGGACAACTGTGAGTACTGCCGAGCTATTTTCTCTTAATTTAAGTTTAACCAACCCTTGCACAAAGTGCCTGTACATGTAAGTCTCTAAACTGGACCTTTGCTACTAGAACATTGAATTATTTAAAAAAAAAAAAATCTAATAATTTTGATCACTATATGTCTGATTCTTAAACAAGTGGTAGATAAGGTAAGAGTAAAATGCAGCTGGTAAATTGCTCATAAAAACTTAGGGCTGGTAACCAGTGTAGTGTGATAAGTCTATGAAAGTCTGTGATGTCAATTGTATGTGTTAACATTTTCCATTGAATAATATAGTTTAGGATCCCTGTCCCACTACACTCTGTTTTCTTTTTATATGCATAGAAACCTTGATCACCTCAATTTAGTTTTGGAATATCTTTTCTATTTCTTTTAAAACTTTATTTCTTTTACAATTATGAAACAAGTTTTCACAACTTACTAATCACTCTTGTTGGCCCTGATATTAGCGTGTGGGGGGTCTTACTGTGGGAGGAAACCGGAGTACCCGGAGAAAACCCACATGGTAGGGCAGGTGACCCCATACCTTTTCACGTCTGATCGGGGAATCGAACTCTGGCCGCCTTGGTGAAAGGCCTTATCCACTGGACCACCCATCATCTCTATTATTTTTCATACAAATTGCTTAAATTATGGTTTTCTTATCAGAAATGATTTATCAAAAATATAGTCATGTCAGCATAATTGGTTTCCAGTGCATACACTGTATTTATAGTTTATGGCAGTAGCCACTAATGTTAAAGTAGAATTAGATATCAGGGCATGATATATGGATTATCCACCAGATCGCTGTGATAAGAGCTAGACTATCAAGTTTTAAAATGTTTAAATGAATTACCTTGATACAATTTCAATATCACGAGGTCAAAATTGAGGTAAATGAACAAATTGCATTGATTTATATTCAAGGAAACATACTTGCCAGCCTTTTGAAATTTTTATGCAGGAGAATCCACAAGCTCAAATTAAAAACTCAAATATATTGTGTGTATATTACATCCCCTATGGAACATACAACGTTAAAAATGACCAATTTTGAGTTGTCCTTTCTTATGAAATTATTAGATCTTGGACGTAGGAAAAGATTTGCAAACTCACTGGTTTGAAAAACTAAATTTAAGGGTTCAGAATAGGTAGTCTTCCTCCTATATAAACTGGTTTTGTTTTCCACCCAATTACTGTGATTGCATAAGTTTTCATTTTTCAGTGCACTTTCCATGATTTAATCGGTTTTCTGTTCTAGTATCTACATCGTGGCTGCACACAGACACGTAAATGATCAGTCCTACGTGAAAGTGATGGTACAAAGAAACGAAGCCTGGATAACAGGAGATTTGACCGGTGCTGTGAAGCAAGAACAACTTAAAGTACACATTACCTCGCAACGGACCAATGAAGTACAGGTAGGTCAAGGTCATTGACAGTGAAATGGTACTAAGATAGTTGTTTTGGTTGGAGTCTTTGACAAAGATATTTGTTTTGGTTGGAGTCATTGATAAAGATAGTTGTTTTGGTTGGAGTCATTGACAAAGATAGTTGTTTTGGTTGGAGTCATTGATAAAAAATGTTAGTTTTGGTCAGAGTCATTGAACTCATTCATTAAGTCAAGAAGCTACGTGATAAAACATCTTCTTTTTGAATATAATGTTTCAAAAGTAAAGCTACTGTATTTGTCATGATAGAACTGTAGGTCAAAAATCACATATTCTCAGACTCTATGGGAAAGATTTTTCTAAAGCGGACATTTTTTTATGATATAACTAAAGGTTTTTATTTTGAAATGTTTTTTGTTTATGTCAGGCTCTGTCGTTGAGTGGGTTTGGAAGCACGGCCTACACTGCGACAGTAAAGACATTAGAACTCACCAACATTGACACTACAGCTTACTTTAGAGTCATCATATTTGGTGTGGCCTCTGGTAAGACAAATTATAGATTAAAAATTATATATTTTTCTCAATTTGGAAGAGTTTTGGAAAGATTTGAAGTAAAATCTGCCAAAGTACTCTCCCACTTTTAAATGTTTTCACCCTCGAACACCACAACCCAGGTTCTAACTCCCTGTCACCACAGGGAGGGCCACATACACCATTTGTAACAGGAAAGAGAATAGTGTGCTTCGATCGGCAGGGGACCAAACCCACGATGTCCAGGTTCCTAGTTGGACGTTCTACCACTGAGCTAAGGGGAAATTCCCTATAGCTGTACGCTAGAAGGCGACCATAATTCTATGTACAATTAAAATCTGCCACAGAGGCAAATGTTTGAAGGTTTAAATTAAACAAATACAACACCTGGTATTAAAAATGTTGTATAATTATATAAGAACTTGCCACAGGAATCATATCCAATTTCTCTATTTCCAGAATGGATAAAGTCTGTGGCGACAGCCAGTGACATTGAGCGATCCCTGAAGAAAATACCAATGATGAAAGATGTGATATCTGTAGCTCCATCAAGTAGTGATGCCAAATTTGACATCACATTTGATACAGATATGGGTAAGTTAGTCAAAATCCATGCTCAACTGCAAGAAGCCGGCGACGTACTGTCGATAGCATTTGACAGCTTCAGCTATCATATATGTTTGTTGAAGTTTATAGTCCAAGTAAACACATGGGAAGATGCTGTACATTTTAGTATAACACACGTGAAAATTGAAGAATAATTGAAGAAAAGAAGAGATTTCAAAGTGGGCATGTCTATATTCAAGTCATTTAACCCTTTCACCACTGCAGACCATAATGGACTCATTCAGATCAATGTATGGTTGAGTCTACTAAAGTTACCTAGGGGTGAAAGGGTTAACTCAAAGTGTAGTATCCATTGAAAGCTTAGTATTGAAATTAATTGTTAATTACAGGTGACTTAATATTTTGGGAACATTTAGCACTTAATCTGAATTAGGTATTTTTTTCCTAAATTTAGGTCACACATCCTTAAAATAAGGATTTTTTCTAATATTGCAGACATGTTTTTCTAACTCAAATGTTGCCTAATTAATTTAGACCATGTCTGTAAATGAAGTCCATAGCTCATAATTATTTTGGCCATAATTTCATAATTCAGTTGGTACTTCATTAATTGAGATTTTAACTATATTTAATGTAATCAGTGTTCTATTAAATTACTCCTATGACGATTAATTATTTTTTTTGGTAGTTTTTAACTTGTTCGTAGACAAAATGAAATACCTTGTATTTATTAACAATAAAGTAATAACAATAATTTCCAAAAGAGGGGAAAAAAACTTTTTAGCTCACATGCCCGAAAGTAGAGATGGGACCCAATAATGTAAGGGTGTTGCTGAGAGACAGATTCAATATTAAATATTTTGCCATGATTGCTTTAATATCCAGGTGAGCGACACAGGCCCTCTAGGCCTCTTGTTCTGTGTTGATATGCATTCAGCTCAGGTACTGTTTTTGAAGTATCAGATATACTGATGATTTCTGGTACAGAAAATCTACATTTATTTTTTATTTTTCAGGACATATACCATTGACATCAATAACCACCGCAAAACTTCCGAGTGACTGTTCCTTGTCGATTTCTGTCAGTGACAAAACCCCTGGAGTAGCAGGCCTTAAACACCTCACCCTTCAGCTGATGCCGAACGTTCTTGTGCCCCCTGTCGACTACGATACGACGGCAGAGAAGGTAGCACACACTATTGGTCAGATATATTATATATGACTATTGTGGTTATGTTTAATTTACATTAGGGGGCCGCGTTGGCCGAGTGGCTAAAGCGTCTGACATTCTGCTACCACTAGCCCTCCACTGCTAGGATGCCAATTCAAGACCTATGTGGGGTAGGGGCCAGGTCCTGGCAGCTAGTCGGTGGATTTTCTCTGGGAACTCTGGTTTTCCTCCACCAACAAAACCTGGCACACCCGTAAATGACCAAAGCTGTAAATAGGATGTAAAACCCAAAGAAACAAAACATTAATTAATTTACATAAATATACCTTTAATATAGTCACGTGCACAATTATGGAAGAAATTTACTGGGATATGAAACAGTCAGTGCCTGGAAGGAGCAAATAGCCTTGAAATTGTGAAACCCTTGAGCAACAAGATAGCTATTACCGGGTATTTTTTTGCTAAATGAGTTGTACTATCTTTTATTACTGTTATTATTATTTTTTATAAAAAAAGTCCAGATTTGTAATATTTTCTAAACCCTTTGTGTTTCCTTTCAGATGTCAAATGCCCTGAAAACTGCCATAGGTGCAATCTGTCCGTTAGATTTTTATGACCAGGAAGCTGCCAAGTACACAGAGGACTTTGAGTCACAAAGTTTAACCTGCGGAGGCGACGTAGACATGACCGTCGAAGCTTTCTGTGGACGAAGCTCTGTGAAGAACCCAGCTTGCATCTTCACACGTTCAACCAAACAAGCGTTTTCTGCAGATCTTAAGGTATTTACTATCCTATATTAACCATCTCATGGCATTGCCACTATATAACCCTACCAAATTCAGTTGGCATTCAAATAGCCTATGAATGCCATGGAACGATTGTTGACATCATCATGGTAATATGACATCATAATTGTTGCGTTGCGTTGGATACCAATGACCGTCCTTGGTGGATGGCTGTTCTATTCATTAAACAAGCATACACAATACATACATTATTTGATTTGGAAGTCATTTGTTCCTGTGATATAAGCTATACAACAATGACAAAACTGCCAAAAAGATGCTTGAAATCCTTTCATTATAAAAGAACCTAACCTAGTGAATATTGAACAACTCTGTCTATTGATGTAACAGTAGTGTATAGTGAACAACTCTGTCTATTGATGTAACAGTAGGGTATAGTGAACAACTCTGTCTATTGATGTAACAGTAGTGTTCTCATTTTATTTGTGTATTCAGTCCCATAAAATTATAAACAGATTGTGAAATCGATCTTCAATTGGGGTAATACTTCTGATTACAAAACGATTAACGATTATGGTTTCAAACTGATTCCCTATCACTACTACAAAAACTTGAAGGAAACTTTTGTTTTGTTTATGTGCTTTGTGTACCGAGATATTATACGCTTGTTGACCAACATAATACCATGTTTTTTGTTTGGTTACAGCTGTGTTACGCCTACCAAGGGAACATGTCGGACAATTACAGGATTCTCTGTCTGGAATCTGATGGCGGAAATAGGACTATCTGGCCTGCAACAAACTTGGCCACATCTGAGAGGTGGGAACAGTACAAAATAATAGTTTTATTCAAAAGGGTTCTTTTATCAAAGAAAAATAATTATTACTATAATAAATAATACGCTGTTTGACTTGCCAGATTTATATTTTAATTTTCAAACATTTTAAGGAGTTTATAGAAAATTATATGTATAATCACGACATAATTAATTATTACTGCTGAATGTGTCTATTCTATACAGCTGGAATTATACTTGTGTGAGGCTGTCAGAGTTGGTTCCACAAGAATGTGTCAAAGTTGCCAGTATTCAATTTACTGGTAACCAAGGTGACCATTGGCTAGATGCTGTCACGGTAACAGAGGATACAACATTCTATAAATATGGACCAGGTGTGTATTTATAAACAGTATTCAATGGTAGGTCAAACCTGTTCGTTCTGTGAATTTTTTCGTTTCTCGCCTTTTTTTAACAGTTCATATTTCAGAAACTGCAAACTGTAGTTAGAATTGCAAACTTGAGTCCAATTAAATACTGTTTTTGATGAAGCAAAAGTTCTTTTTAGCTTCCCATGTCAAAGTACCGTTAGTTGTTTAATTTTGTGGGGCTTATACTTTGTGGTAGTCCGGATCAGAAGTATTTTTGCAGGGGAACTAACTCATTCCCCCTGAAGACTCATTTAAATTCTTCCAATTGAAAGGTTGGAATAGTTCATTATGAAATTTCAAGGGTGAACGAGATAAGTTTTACAATCATCAGCCCATCACTACTATAGGTAGCTATGCATCAAATTGAAAAATGATATTAAACATGTTTCATTTTTTGTTAGATGATATGATGAGCCAGATACGGAAGCAGCCTAGACTTGGAGGACAACTGGTCGTTGGTGCCAGTGTGGTAAAGGCCGCGAGTAATTTTGAAATAACACTGATTTCTCATGACTGCGGATATGACTTTCCTCTGATCCAGCCTTACGGAGCGGTAAATATAATTATATTTGTTGTTTTAGATGTTTGATATATTGTTTGCTGTGTATAGGACATGTCCCAGACCATTCCATATCTGCCTGGGACACTCCATATAACATATGCCATGGCACACAACATTCTGCTGTTTAACTTTCGGTTAAACCCTTTTCAGAAAAATCACACCTCAAGCTGGTAGTGAACTCACTATATATTCATCTGTATAATTCTGTTCATGCTGTTTCATTTAAGGTGGAATGTCATATAGTAAAGCTGATATAGTATCATTTTTTTTGCCAGTTTTATGTGTTTATTTGCTAATAATTTTGATGTTGTAGAGCAGTTTATGATAAAAAGGTTGCCGTATGACCATTTCCATATCCTACTCCATATCAGCCCTCGACTTTATGAAAGTGGTCACATGATCACCTCAAAATATCTTGTTTAGGCTATGGTAAAATCATTGACCTGGCCTGTAACACTTTATGATCACATGCGATGACTTATAGGTGACCTGTAGTGGTTTTTCCCAGTGTTCTACTCTCCAGAGACAGTCATTTGAGAGTCCAAAGTTGGTCCGCTGCACAATTAAGTTGCAACAGTTGATATCTCTACTTACCGTTTTTTTCTGTACATTAGGTTGATACTTTTGTATCACTTGGCACACCTGCTGTTTAATTTGGTGTCATATGAAATGTTCATCCTCCATAAAATACTCATTCCGAAGAATATTTCCAAGCTTTGTCTACTATCTCGTCATGTATTTAAGGATTGGTTGTCATATTTTTGACATGCATTGGTGTGTAACATACATTGGCTTACCTACATAGTGAATGGTGCAAGCTAGCGCACCATGTTAAATATGTAGGTAAAGACATAATATTAGTCTGAGTATGTTTCAACGTCGGGGTAAATCCATACAGAGAACAGCCACCAGTTGACAGTGGAGCAGTGTAATCTCCAACGTTACAGTTATGACGTCATAAGCGTAGCGACGTCACAATGGCCCAAGTATGTTATACGAAAATAACATACATTGGGCCCAGTAGAAACATCTAGGCTCTGTGTAGTAGAAATGTAAATATTTGGTAATGTTGATTGACTGTTTTTAAAAATAATTTCTTTGAACGGCTAAGGAGACAATAGTTGTTCTAGGAACATGTTTACAAATTCTTATCTTATGGAATCAATGGCGACTTGTTTTTGTAGTTGCCTTGTCTGCCATAGTTGCCTAGCCTGCCTCTCTCGGTACAGAAAACTTCCAGAACATCTGTCTATTTCCGTCACTTTTATGATGGGTACCGGTGTCCATGCTGTGTTTCCCTTAACTTTTTTACTTATTCTATTAATTCTGGGTTTGAAATCAATCTTTTTTTCTTAGTGTAGATGTGTCCTATATTTACAGGCGAAGAGTGGTGATGTCTTCAGTCTGAGATCAGGAGGCACAGTGACAGCAGTCAAGTCTTCATCTGCTAACCCGCCTATAACCGGATCAGTCACGCTTGGAGCATTCAATAAGCGAATCAGTGAGTATAACGTGCATAAAAAATGTCATAAAACAGTCGAGGGGGATTTATTTGATGCAAATGTTGATTTCAACTATTTTTTATAATTAGTCATCATTGAGTGTTTTTTTTAGCTCACCTGGCCCATATTTACCTGTATTCAATTCCATTGAGGTCAAATGTATGTGAAACTTCAAACTACTTTTTTTGAATATTCTGCTCAGATGAAGAGCAATCAATTTTGTTCTTGTGGATGATCTTGACCCACTTTAGTTTCAAGGTTACATTTGGCCAAATGTGTGTAAACCTTTAACTCAGTAAACAAGAGATCAAAGGGGGTGATGTTTGGCAAGTTTGTTGCATATGCTGAGATGAAGGGCTATGAATTCAATTCAACTGAATGACCTTGTTAGACTTTAAGGTTACAAGTGAGAGATTAACATCAGATGAGCAGTGCAGGCCTATTGAGCGTCTTGTTCTGTATTGGCGTAGTCATTGGTCCGAGGCCTGCTAGATGGGCTGAAGCGAAGGCCTCGGCCCATACAGAAATAACCAATGATATCAGTAGTTAAACCTATAAAATTAAAGCCAAAACTGCATGAAATTTCGAATTTTGGGGAAATCGTGAATACTTTTGTGACAATGCTTTAGTAAGATACAATGAATGAGGCATTCTTGTTGTGATTTAGGTACAAATATATTGTATTCCAAATATACTGTCAAGTTTGTTAAGGTATTGAATTTTTATTTCATCTGGAGATGTTATTGTTTTAAAGCTGTGCAAGCCAGATCTACATCACAAGAAGTGCAGCAAGCTTTTGAAGATCAGAGTGAATTTGTGAAAGTCATCCAGTCTGGCAACTGTTCCGACTTCCATTGGGATATTACCTGGAGCAAACGTTTGGGCGACCTGCCTGCGATGACTGTAAGTAGCTTATAGTGAACGTGGCATTTCGATGTGTAATGTTGCTCTTGGCAACATGGCAGTAACTAATGACAACATGACAGTAAATAATGACAACATGACAGTAGCTAATGACAACATGGCAGTAACTAATGATAACATAACAGTAACTAATGATAACATGACAGTAACTAATGACAACATGTCAGTAACTAATGATAACATGGCAGTAACTAATGACAACATGACAGTAACTAATGACAACATGGCAGTAACTATTGACAACATGGCAGTAACTATAGACAACATTGCAGTAACTATTGACAACATGACAATAACTATTGACAACATGACAGTAACTTTTGACAACATGACAGTAACTATTGACAACATGACAGTAACTATTGACAACATGACAATAAATATTGACAATATGACAGCAACTAATGACAACATGACATTAACTTATGACAACATAATATTTACTGAAGGCAACAATTTCCTTGTTTTCTCTTTTGATCCTTTTCTCTCTATATTTTATTGCTCTTTTCGTTCATTATTTATGTTTATCCTATTATGGTCTTACTCTCTGATAGTCTCTCCTTCTCCTTTACTCTTCCCCAGTAATGAAAACAGTATGCTAACAAACTGACAGTAGAGAATTGTTTGTATAGTTTTTATAACTTAAAAGATTTTGTGAATTAGAAACTGGATTTTTTTTTATTACCAGTTGGAGTCCATAGATCTAGACGGAAACAACGTTCAAGTTCAAATAGATACTGTACAGAATGGTTCTACAGACTATCCTGAAGTTGGGGCCGACATGTCATTCACAGTCTTTAAAGATATGCAGGTATGTAATAAGTGATATTTCTCTAATAATACTTATTAACCCTTTCTCCACCGTATAACATAATGGACTCATCCCAATTAATACATGGTAGAGTCCACTAAAGTTACCTAGGGGTGAAAGGGTTAAAGAAAAAATTGAAAGTAGAAAGTAAACCGGAAGGAACAAAATAAAGCGTCTTACCATGTTTCAACCTGTCTGAGCATGCACATTCTGTATAAGTGTGCTGTGGTCTTATATTGTCCCACAGCTTTTACTCATTCACCCCTGAAATTTCCTAATGAACTGTTCCAATATTTGATTTGGAAGAGTTAAAATATGTCTTTAGGGTTGAATGAATTAAATGCACAGTAAAACGCCAGATGAAAGTGATGTTTAGCGATGAATTAGAAAAAAAAAAGATTTTCTCCATGAAAACTTTGGAGAGACCAAATAAAGGTTAATTATTTTTCTTAAAACAACAATAAAGAATAGGACAAAGCAATTGTTTCTTTGTGTTTATGAAACCTGATCTTTATACCCCCACAGCCCTACCCCAAGCCCCACCCCCACCCCTACCCCCAAGTAAGGGGTGGGTTGGTGTATAGTTATTGCTTTGTCAGTGTGTGCATATGAGTGAACATGACAGCTCATTGACCCTTGACCCTTGAATACATTTACCCCATATTTTACAATTGTATGGTAAGATCAAGTTCTACACCTGAATAGATTTGGATGGTTTTGGTCAAGGTTAAACGGTCAAAGGTAACGGTCAAAGACCAAACTTGATCACTTTTGATGTAAAAAGCTTGTGTGCAAGAAATATCATGAACCCTTTGACACACTTAACCCTTTCACCACTGTAAACCATAATGGACTTATCCATATCAATGCATGGTCGAGTCTACTAAAGTTACATAGGGGTGAAAGGCTTAATTTGTGTTTGCTCCATAGTATGATAAAATTGAGTTCTACACCTTGTTAGATTTTGGTAGTCAACAATCGAGGTCAAAGGTCACAACACCAAGAGGAGGGGAAGGGGTATGTCTATGTGAGTCTCAACTTTCATTGCTTTTATTTGTCCTCCTTGTGTTAAAGTGTTTTATTTTTTTGCCAGACCCTATCCTCACAATGAGTTGGATCACCGATCCGTTATCGTTGCTGACATGCACGAGCAGAGAGATGGGAGATTTCTTTTATGTCAATAAATATTATAAACAATAAAATATTTTTGTTTTTCTAGGTGATGGCTTATATAAACAACATCCCAACAGCCTGTGACGAAGGCCAAGATTGTTCATTTACCTACTCAAATGTGGTAACACCTGTCATCACTGAGATCAGCCCTCTACAAGGTAACCTCACCCTTACCATAAACCCTTTCATCCCCAAAAGGGGAAAATAACCCTTTCACCACTGTAGACCATAATGGAATTATCCAGATCAATGCATGGTAGAGTTTACTAAAGTTACATAGTGGTGAAAGGGTTAAGAAAATTTGTGAAAAAAATCTTTTTAAAAGGTAGAAGCTAGATAGCTTTGATATTTCATTTGTATCATATCCTAGTATGTAAATTTGAACTTCCTAACTTGTTAGGCTCCTAGGTTGATAAATGTTGCCACACCCAAGGGTCAAAGTTCAACAGAGGCTGTAAAAGGTGATCAGCCTCAGAAATCTTCTTATAAAAACTAGCTGTTGGATAGCTTTGATATTTCATTTATATCATGTCCTACAAAGCACGCAAGTTTCAAATAGTTAAAAACAGGCTTCTGGGTCAGGAAATGGGGCCAATGACAGCCATGCCCAGGGGTTAAAGTTCAACACTGCTTTAATGGGTATTCAGCTTCAAAAAAATTCTTCTTAAAAAGTAATTCACACCTAAGGGTTAAATTTTAACATAAGCCAATTTACCCTAGGCCAACTTACCCTTTGAGAAGTAAAATCTTTAAGTGTAAAACCAGGCAGGCAATACAGATCCATGGGCCTCTCATTTGTATTTCGCCCTTGTTTTATAAATTTTGAGTTCAAGTCATGATTTTGTTGGCACTTCAATATTTCTTGTGTTTTTATAATAAAGTAATTATTTAATGATAAAATGGTTTGGGAGAGGGCCAAGTAAGTTTAGGAACTTGTGTCCAATCCCATCGACTATTCAGTGTCAATAAAATATGTTTGAATGATCTGAATGAATGAATGGTTAACAGGATCACAGGTACAGAGTACCATTCTCACGGTCAGTGGGACGGGGTTCACGGCTGCGCCCACGGTGTTGATCGGTAGTGTCCCTTGTGTTAACCCGACCTTCACAGCTACAGAGATCCAGTGTACTGTTGGTAACGGACCATCAGGACCTGGTAGTGTTACTGTACACATCGCTGGAGTCGGCAACGCTACCTCAACAACCTCCGACCAGTTCACCGTACAGGCGGGGGCAGGAACATTATCACCTGCAGCGGGCAGTTTGGGAGGTAAGTCAAAATAATCTCTCGAGTCATAAATAACTTCTTATTGTAATCATCTGTGACTAAAGACATGACAATGTATCTATTGACTTCTGGTTGTAATGACTGATAATGTGACAGTGTATTTAGTGATTTCTGGTTGTACTTATAACATGACAGTGTATTTAGTGATTTCTGGTTGTACTAATAACATGACATTGTATTTAGTGATTTCTGGTTGTACTAATAACATGACATTGTATCTAGTGACTTCTGGTTGTACTTATAACATGACTGTGTATCTAGTGACTTCTGGTTGTACTTATAACATGACAGTGTATTTAGTGATTTCTGGTTGTACTAATAACATGACATTGTATCTAGTGACTTCTGGTTGTACTTATAACATGACAGTGTATCTAGTGACTTCTGGTTGTATTTATAACATGACAGTGTATCTAGTGACTTCTGGTTGTACTTATAACATGACAGTGTATCTAGTGACTTCTGGTTGTATTTATAACATGACATTGTATCTAGTGACTTCTGGTTGTATTTATCACATGACAGTGTATCTAGTGACTTCTGGTTGTATTTATCACATGACAGTGTATCTAGTGACTTCTGGTTGTATTTATAACATGACATTGTATCTAGTGACTTCTGGTTGTATTTATAACATGACATTGTATCTAGTGACTTCTGCTTGTAATGACTGATAACATGACAGTGTATTCAGTGATTTCTGGTTGTAATGACTGATAACATGACATTGTATCTAGTGCCTTCTGGTTGTAATGACTGATAACATGACATTGTATCTAGTGACTTCTGGTTGTAATGACTGATAACAGGACAGTGTATTTAGTGATTTCTGGTTGTAATGACTGATAACATGACATTGTATCTAGTGACTTCTGGTTGTAATGACTGATAACATGACAGTGTATTTAGTGATTTCTGGTTGTAATGACTGATAACATGACTGTATATATAGTGATTTTTGGTTGTACTGATATCATGACATTGTATCAAGTTCATTCTTTAAGAGTGTAGTTAAGATACACAGAGGTCGTTTGGGCCAATAAATTGTTGATAAATCAATTAGAGGTGTATAACGTTCCTGTGTATGTGTTTTCTATCACAGGAGGAACAGATTTGACGATCGCCGGTTTCGGATTTGCTACTGACGCATCAGTAACTGTAGGAGGAAAGTCTTGTCAGGTGACAGGAACAACACTGCCCGGACAGGTTGTCTGTGTCACACCTCCTTCGGTAAGTGAAAGTAATGCTTGGATCCAGACACAAAAAAAATATGTTTCAGGTAACATGACTGGAAAAAATAGGGAAGGTCGGTCGGGACATCCCCAAAAAAAAAAAAAAGTGAGGGGGTCTTAATTAAGAAATCACAAAAAAACACATAGCTTTTCAGACCATTTGTATTCATCATTTTTCATTACATTTGTGGTATTTTAAATAATAACAGGGGATTTTAATTTGGATTGGATACCTACCTATGAAATAGAGAGGTGCCATAAAGACGCTTACCATCTTGTATAAGAGTTAAAACAATTAACTCATTCACCCCTGAAGACACATTTGAACTCCTCCTATTCAAAGGTTGGAATATTTCATTATGAAATTTCAGGGGTGAATGAGTTAAGCAAGTGTAAGACATTAGCCTACAAAGCCAGTTGATCAGTTGCTGTTTTACTTTATATGGTGATTGTGATATTTGTAGATAGTTGATTTTTATCATACACTAACAATAAACTCAGCTTTATGCTATATTTTTTTTTCAATATTTATTAAATCTATATTATAGGATACAGCCGGTGCGGTTGACGTGGTCGTGACTAGCTACAGCCAGTCTCTCACCTCTACAACACAGTTCAATTACGACCAATCATTGACCCCTGAACTAAATACTGCAGATACTTTGACCTCCGGTGTGATAGGTTTGTATAAAACATTATCATTATTTGGAGGGTATTTATGGTAAATGTTGTATTTGGCCCCGGAACTGTGCAAACAACTGGAAAGACATTTTTAATTATGTTCAGGATTTTTTTTTCTCTAAGAATTTGCATTGAAACCTTTTGTATCAAGCATAATGCTTATTATTTCTGTTATATGAAAAAGGTTGAAAATTAATCTTTAAAACTAATGCATTAAATTAAGGAGAAAACCCCCAAATAAAAATACCAAATTCAGCAAATATGTAACAATGATAAACAGAGTTACGGTCCTTTGTTCATTTATTCCAAAGATTGCTATATACAATCTATATACAGATTGCTCACACTGCTTTGCCTCGATGTTTTGCTGTAGGTGGTGGTACAATTACCCTGACTGGTGTTGGTTTTGGATCATCACCGGCCGTTCTAATTGGAGACGAGGAAGCGACAGTCATCGGGGCAACAGACACCGTCATTACAGCCACAATTCCATCACAAGGGATCGGATCTTACCAAATCAAAGTTAAAAGTGGTACAGATGGATATGCTGCAGTCGAGTATGTCGAAAATAATTTTAAAGACATTTTCAAACATTTTGGTGAAGGAAAAAAAAATTCCTGTTTATATTAATAAAAAGGGAAACCACCAATGGTGTCTCGTTGGTCACATGTGTGCAGGAACTCTCCTGTTTATGAGGAAGACTTGTTTACATCTCAGAGCAATATAAAGCTAGTTTTCAAGTACTGGTTATTCAAGGACTTTTGTCAAAGCAGGGAGGGGGCTTATTTGCGAGTGGGGTCTTTTTTACGGTTGTTTGGTTAAAAACTTCAAGATATCTGTACATAACACTTAAGCACCATCACCCACAGAAACTGTGTTTTGTATGATGATGAGGTCTTCACTGAAAGGTCAAAGGTCATATAATTGCTGTAAGATTTGGCCATGACCTTTACCCTTTTAACATATCTCTATAAATTTAATCCTTAAAAGACTGTTATGACAACGCTCACAAAATGGTTTGTTGTATAGTTCACAAAAATAGATGCAAATCAGAGGAGGCAAATTAAACTTGCTTTTTAAATATGTATTTCATTTTTAGATAATTCATACTTATCTAACTTTAATAAGTAAAAAGATAGTTAGCACTTTATTATATTAAATTAATATCCTTATTTGTTAGATCTGCTACAACGGGGACAAAAGTAAACTACATACTGAATTTGGATGCCATTTCTCCTGATGAGGGATCATTATACGGAGGGACTGAGATTACCGGTGTGGGCCAAGGTTTCGGCACAGATGCCTCGTTGCTGAACGTATCTGTAGGTCCTACCCCTTGCGCTGTGTTCAGTGTCACGGACACTCAATTCAAGTGTCGAATAAACGACACGTCCAGCCAACATGTTGTGAAGAATACAGGGTATTCAAGTAAGTTGAATTTGTGATTGTTATCAGGGGTACATTCGCGTTACCGGTTGAAACGGTTGAACCTGTAAAGAAAATGACAGGTACAGATCTGGACCAAGGGTGACCTCAGGAAAATTTGGCACGTTTAGATTGAGGGGTCCAGACGTGCCTGACCGAAACTAAAATGCTGACTATTGCCAATTTGCGTTATTTCTTTCTAAAACAATGTCAAGTCAGATGTAGTTCTTAAGTTACGTTATGTAATTCAGTGGATGGATGAAAGAAGGTCATAATATTCTTGAAACACTGTTTTCTTTTCTCCGAAACTGTGGATTTTTAGCTCTGCTGATAGAACATTCCAAGTGTGTTCGTTTATCGTGGAAAATTTCTGCGCCACATGTACCGTTTCAACCGGGATACGCGAATGTAGCCTAGTTGTTTTCTAGTTTAATATTACAAGCGTTTTGGTGATGACTGACACAAAATGTCACATCATTAGCTAATTCATGACAAGGGAGACAACTGATTTAAACTTTTTTTTTTCACGATTACATTTTTTAACATACATTTTATGCAACAGGGTTAAAAAAAAAGTTTGAAACCTATGTAAATCTACAAAGACTAGTTAAATGACAAACAAATATCACAGGCAATTTAACAAGTTAAACAAAGTACAAAATATATTCTCCAATATATAAATTCAACTGAAATAACATGAATCTGCTTTAACCCTGCATGTTGTGCTGAGGACATATAAATAGTTATAATGAAGATCTAGTTTTGTAAGTAAATTATTCTTGGAGAGAATGTTATGACATTAAGGAGACATACTACCGTAGTGATGATATTATTGAAATAGTTGATATGATCGATAAAAAGATATAATTACATTTCTCCCTTCTTCAGCTTAGCAAACTCTCACTGCGTATGAATTAGCATACTCTATAATAAGTTATGCCAACTGCATTCATACTATCGTACAAGCCATCAAAATGAAGGTCATTCGTTATATAAACCTTTAACTTGTCTGTATCTTCCAGGTTTATGGGGCGATGGATTTGCCTGGAATCCCGCTACTTTGGATGTTAAGGTTGGGGATGTCGTGAAATTTGATTGGTCAGGAAAAACGGATGATATCAAAATCAAAATGGTAGAAACTGTTGGTCTCAATGGCGATATTAAATCCGGGGGCTGGAACAGCGGAGACGCTACTAAAGAAGGTATGTTGTCATATGTTTGAAGTTTTTCACATGTGAATTTTCAATTTTTAGCTCATCAGCTTGGAGGGCAGGTAAGGTTATTCTATATTGTGCATTGTCTGTTTTCTTCAAACATTTCTTTTTCTAGATAAGAAAGAATTCTGGGATTATCCAACAGATAATAATATACTTTGTTCATGGGCGATCAAGTTTGTTGAAATGAATGACTTTGATCCATTTACAATGTATTAGAATATTTTACCTGCTTGCGTGGTTTGAGATGAACACATGGTCATGCTATTGGAATTCACCATAATAATAAGAGATTGAGGTTCTTCTATACCGCTTTATCACAGCATAGTTTGTAGGTCGTCTCAAAGCAGTTCACAAATTATTATCTGTGGTTATAAGACCTTTGCAACCAGCCAATATCTTTCTCAACTCCCTGGGGAGCATACAGCCGGTGCTGCTATTTCGGCATTCATAACTTGCATTCAACAATTCTAGCACTTCCCAACCACACACTCATTTACAGCTGAGTAGACTGGAACAAGCGGAGTAAAGTATCTTGTTCCAAGATACAACACAGTGCCGTAACGGGACTCAAACTCGCAACCCTTCGGTCACAAGCCCGGTGTCTTACCACTAGACTACAATGCCTCTTTGGCCAAACTCCTGGTGTATATTTTCTGGGTTGAAGTCCCAAACCTAGAACTTAGTAGAAATAACTGTTAGGCATGAACCGTAGAATGTCCTGATTTATCTGATGTTCCGGTGTAGCATGGTATTGTGAAGCATGGTGAAATGAACCGCGGTTCATATTACCATAATGTTAATAAGGACCGCCCCATGGTGAAATGAAGGGTCCCATCGATTTCTATTCTGACAAACCTTTTTCCATCTTTTTCTATCTGAAAATGACAAAAAATAAGTATGGGGTAGAGAAATTTAAGGTGGGGCAGGGGCGCTTCACTTTACCATAATGGTGAAATGAAGGGTTTTAGCATATATATTTTTTTATTTGACTTTTTAAACCAAATCTATTTTAGTTTGCATCAGTTTGATGTCCTGAATATGAAAATCACAAAAAAGGTAGACAAAATTAGGATGGGGCAGGGGCCTTTCACTTTACATTATAGATCTTCACCATTGCATTGAAGCATACTTGCTCTTTGGGACCAGGGAATCAATGATGTAAATGAAGATTGTAGCTCCTCTGAGTTCTGGGCCAAAACGGGGGTAATTTAGACATGATACTTAAACTGTTGATCATATTTCAACCAAGTTTGCTGTGAGACATGCTAGGAATCAAGAAATCACATATAATGGAAAGTGATATCCGAGGGGTTACCCCTCGGCACTGTCACACTCAAATGTATGTAGTATTTATTTTATTTTACCCAAAGTCAATAATCTGTGGGGAGTTCTCATATCAAATCACCACGAAAAACCCAATGGCCCTCTGCATTAGAAATAAAGATAGGTTAGACTTACTGTGCTGTGTCAAAATTTCCGAGTATGCCTGTGTTTATCTAGCAGATGGCCTGTCACAAGTTTACCAAATCAAAGAAACGCTTAAAAATCTCACTCATTTTAGGGTTAACAAGTTGTATTAAACTGGCGAGTATATGCATGCCTATGGGCCTACAGGTGCGGTAAATCACAAGGGAAAAAAATGGCTGCTGAAATAAACCGAACATGCATCTTTGCGTGGTCACTATTTTGCACTGTAACGCCACACTTTCGCCTGTTGCTAGGGTGTGGGAAGCACCCTTCCATTGACTCAATGCTAAAGCGTTTGTGACAGTATATAAATATGACATTCATTAGCAGGTGACAGTGAATATTGCACGCACATTTTTCGCGCATGTGATATTTTTCACTGTCTCATGGCAATATCACCTGCGCCCCTTAAAACAAATGTATTTTCAGAGGGTGACAGAGATTTTTGTTTAATTTTCTACCAACCAATCAAATAGCTAGAAATTCACTTGAGGTGTAACAATGTGAAATGAACAATTTGTCTTGACCAATCAGATTACAGGATTTTAACTGGAAATGTAATGAAAATATTTTGGGCATTTTCTTAAATAGCACAAACTACAGGTTTATTGTATAGTATATACATAAATAACACTAAAGGATTTCTATTTTGCTGTCACAACAATATTGTTTTGTTTACAGGATCCTTTAGTATCCAGGTTACAGAAACAGGAGAGTTTTGGTACAAAAGTTGCGATGACACGCAGGCAAAGTGCTTTTATGGGAAGATAGTATCGCAGATTAAGGACCCGTCTGTTGCAGATGTTACGATGAAAGTCAACAACTTCGAGGCTAATTACAACACACAATCAGGTAAAGGTGCTAGGACTGTTTGACTGAAAAGGCTTAATTGATAATTGATTAACTCATTCATCTCTGAAATTTTATAATGAAGTATTCCAACCTTTGAATTGGAAGAGTTAAAATGTGTCTTCGGGGGTGAATGAGTTACTGAGATTTTTCTACCTACTTTCACACTTGCCTGAAAATTCTACATTAAAGTGACTTGTTTCATAATTGTTGAAAAACAAAGAATGTTGAAATTTATTCACATCATAGTGATACCTACTTTCACACACAAAACTGCCTAATTGTGATTATTATCTGTCCGTCTGTCAACTTTTCCTTTAAAACACTATACTAGTCCTTAACGGCCCAGTAGATTTTGACTAAATTTGGCCTGGAGCATCCTTAGGCCAAGGGCACTCATTTTTGTATAAACGGTGGGTGTGGCCCACAGGGCAGAGGGTTGGGGCCCAATAGGGGAAATAGAGGTAAAACCTTTGAAATCCTTCTCCTACAATAGGGATTCAAGATTGTATCCCAATGTTATCTCCATCAAGCTGTCTAGTAGTGCCTGTTACTATTAGGATGTATTCATTAAAACAAGATGGCTACCAGGCCACCATATTGGATTTTGACATTTGAAGTTTGTTCTCCCTATATCTCCAGAAATACTGGATGGATCTATCTGAAATTTCATATGTATATAGAGTACCTACCAAGGAGTGCTATATCTTTACTTCATATCAAGTACTTTAAACATATATATCCAGGTAAGCATTACAGGCCCTCTGGGGCCCTTGTTGGCAGTGATACAGGGATCCTTTATGGACTTGTTTTAAAGATAAAGCACAATAAGGTGAAGTTAGATTGTTTAACTAAAGATGACAATTTTCTGAGATATATACCATAGCATTAATCAACTTTCATCATCATTAGACCTTATTCTTTAAATTTACCTGAAATTTGAACTTTAAAAATAATTATTTGACAGGTGCTACAGTGCCATCTACCTCTGGAGGATGTGGTTCAACATCGTCACCTATAGCAGGGTGTAGTGCAGTAGCTCCCTCTGGTGGTAGTGCTGATAAGTTTCATTTTACATTCACTGAATGTCAATCAGGGGAGGTAACTGAGATGACTTGTGATAAGGACATGGTAACGTTGGAAGGGACCGGATGGAGCAGCACAGAATGCCAGAATGTTATCATAGTTGGTGACCATCCCTGTCCTGTTACAAGTGTTACAGCAACCACAGTCACTTGTCAGATTGACACTTCATCTACAATTCAGGTATAAGCTAACTATATTATCTCTGTCTCTCTGTTTGTCTCTATCTTTCTCTCTCTCTGGCTGTCTGTCTGACTGTCTGGCTCTCTATCTGTATGTATGTCTTTCTCTCTGGCTGTCTGTCTCTCTCTGTTTTTCCCTCGGTCAGTGTCTTTCTCCCTGGCTGTCTGTCTGTCTGCCTCTCTCTGGCAGTCTGTCTCACTGTCTGTCTGTCTGTCCATATGTCTCTAGCTGTCTGTCTGTCTGTCTCTAGCTGTCTGTCTGTCTGTCTCTAGCTGTCTGTCAGTCTGCCTCTCTCTGGCAGTCTGTCTCACTGTATGTCTGTCTGTCCCTCTGTCCCTATGTCTCTCTCTGTCTGTCTGCAAAATTTTTTCACTATCTCCTTCTCTCTTCCTGTCTGTGTGTGTGTATCTCTCTCTTCCTGTCTGTGTGTGTGTATCTCTCTCTTCCTGTCTGTGTGTGTGTATCTCTCTCTTCCTGTCTGTGTGTGTGTATCTCTCTCTTCCTGTCTGTGTGTGTGTATCTCTCTCTTCCTGTCTGTGTGTGTGTATCTCTCTCTTCCTGTCTGTGTGTGTGTATCTCTCTCTTCCTGTCTGTGTGTGTGTATCTCTCTCTTCCTGTCTGTGTGTGTGTATCTCTCTCTTCCTGTCTCTGTGTGTGTATCTCTCTCTGTCTCTCCCTGTCTGGCTGTCCCTTTATTAGGTCACCTGATCTTTAGCTCAAGTGACCTATTGCTATCTGTCTCCGCCGTCGTCCTTCGTCTGTTAACATTTTACATTTTCAACTTAAGCTGAAATACTGTTGAAGGTTTTCATTTACATTTCCTGTGAATATTACTGACATCTCCCTGACCAAGTTTTTTTTCTTTTTTCGGGTCGATCATAAATCCAATATGACCACCAATGCCGCCATTTTGAAAAAGGCTATTTCAAACTTTCAAAGTCAAGTTCTAATGGGCCAATTTAACAGAAATCTTTTAGGAATAAACGACTCATGACCCTGACAAAGTGTTGTTAAATTTCAGGTTGATCAGAATCCAATATGGCCACCAATGCCGCCATTTTGAAAAAAAATTCAAACTCTAAGTCAAGTACTTATGAGCCGATTTAACTGAAACCTTTAGGAACGAAAGACTCGATCATGGTCCTGACAAAGTGTTGCTATTTTTCGAGTTGATTAGAAAACCAATATGGCCACCAGGGCTGTCATTTTGAAAAACTATTTACTAGGTCAAGGTCACTGTTACTATTTATAGAAAATTGTCAAACAGTGAGATACATTTTCTGTGGCAAAGAGCATTCATGTGTGACACACTTCTCTAGTTTTACTCAAACTTGGTAGTGATCATTGACTGATTGACCTCGCACTTGTGAAAAACAATTTTTTGTACGACAAATAATGTACTTTTCTCTATTGACATCATTATTTCAACAACAGCAACAACAAAATACTGTAGGACTCAGGTGACCGTTGAGGCCCATGGGCCTCTTGTTTCTCTATTTCTCTCTCTCTTGATTGTTATAAGGTGGAATCATATATATGAGTGTACATGGGTAGCAACAGGTTATTTTCTGAGTGTTGGATCACAAATTAGTCAGTTGTTTACTAATGTTAAGGTTGAGGCATTTGTATTTTAGGTAGGCATACATAGAATTCCACAGAAATATTTTGTGATGCATTTTTATTGGGCCTCCTAAAACACCAGTGGGATGAATTATCTGTTGTTTTGTCGATTATTGAGAAACCTCTTAAATTGCAAGTGAGATATACTTCAATTCTGTTGTTTTGAGGTTTTATTGACATTTATAGATCAACTCCTTAAACATGATTATATTTCTGCTAATGTTCTGTTCTGATTAGAATAATCTTTCATTCTTCAAACTATCTGCTATAAGTCTTAATTTACAGATAGATACTTGGAGATAACGACAGTGGTTAATTTTGATTTATATCTTATTTCATAATAGCTGTAAAGTAAATAAAGTTTATAGTAATAGTATATAGTTTTCTAAAGGTATCAGTATTTTTGAACAGTATAAAGATCAGATCGTTCAACATTCTAATAGTGGTCTTCCTGTATTTCAGACCAATGTGAAGCACAAAGTGCTGGTGATCATCGCTGGTCGTGGTATCTCCATCATCAACGTAAAGGACCCCACCTGTACCGTTCCTCCTTTTGTGAGCAGTCTGTCCCCAGCATCGGGATCCTCATCTGGAGGTGCAATTATGACGATCAACGGTGTTGGACTTCAGGATGCTACTGTGCAGATAGATCGCTACAGTTGCCAAGTGACTCAGCAGTCCTTCACAACAATAACATGCATTGTTCCTTCTGGTACCGTCGGACAGTCAAAGCCCATAAATGTGATCACTCGGACCAATGCAGTGGTCAGTTGTTCACAACCCTGCCAATTTATCTACACCCAAGAACTGCTGGTCTCAGGTATCAACCCAACGGCGTTAGATGGATCAGTGATGCAGACATTGACTATTGATGGAAACGGTTTCGGTTCGGACGTCTCTGCTGTGGTGGTCAAGATTGGGTCAGAGAACTGTGGCAATCTAAGACTACTAAGTGATAGTGAGATCAAGTGTGATCTACAGTATATATCTGTTGGTGTTTACCCTATCAATGTTACCATTAGTGGTAAGGGACTGGCTAGGACTACGACTGCTGTTACAGTAGAAGGCATGGCAGTGCTTAACAGCGTGAATCCAACCGGAGGCAGTGAAAATGGCAATACCAGCATCACATTGTACGGGAATGGGTTCGTCGAAGGCGAAACAACTGTAACAATAGGTGGTTCCCCATGCGACGTTTCCATGACAACATTGTCAACCATAATGTGTTGGACCCCCAGTGGTAGTGGCACTAAGACTGTTGTTGTCTCTGTACGTGGTACAGCATATTCAACACAACTAGATTATTTGTTTGATGCCAGTAAAACGCCGACGGTAACTGGAGTGAGCCCTTCCACTGCTACGTCTAACACACAGATAACCATCACAGGAACACACTTTTCCGAAAACGCCGGAGAAAACTCAGTTACTGTAGGTGAAGCTGCCTGCTCTGTGATATCACAAACTAGTACACAAATTGTCTGCAACACAGGATTACATCCTGCTGGGAGTAATCGAGTTATCGTAATCAGGAATGGTGGTTACGGTAAATCAGTTGGTGTCATCAACTTTACGTATGAACTTACGACCAATTCCATTGATCCGTCTTCAGGTACATAGTCATTTGATATCATGATAAATTAATAACATTTTTTATTACAACTTTACGATTTACAATTGAAATATTTCTGAAATGATCAGTTTGTAAAATCGTATACATATGACGATAACGCCTCATACAATCTCTTGATGATATAAAGCCTCATACAATCTCTTGATGATATAAAGCCTCATACAGTCTCTTGATGAGATAAAGCTGTTATATATATAAGAACATTCTTCTCTATTGTATTCAAAGAATCAACTTTTGGTTCAGCTGCAGATTGTAGAATAAACGTTATCTATCTGTTCACGAACAATTGTCTTTAACAATATTTTTGATATTTGATAAACAGAACAAAACAAAATGGAAACCTTCTATGTATGATATTTCATTTTTGAAATTCATTATTTTGAAATTAGGCAAATTTACAATTTGATGTAATATTAAAGATGAGCTATTTAGGCTTTTAACAACAGAGAAAAGATACATTACTCAAAGGGAAATTCCAATCAATGAAATATTTTTTAAATAAAAAAAAAGAAGTTTATACTTTATGTATTAAATCCTCACCTTTGCTTTACCAGGAGGATTAGCTGGTGGTCAGCCGGTCAGTATCAGTGGTCAAGGATTCGAGTCTGCTACATCTGTAGCAATATGCGGCCAGACAGCAACTGTGGACACCATGGCAACAACTTCATCTTTGTTGGTGGCAGAGACACCTCAATCTACCGGTATGATATATATTCCACAAAGTACACAAACTGCCCTACAGTTGTATAACAACCCAACACCCTACAGTTGTATAACAACCCTACACCCTACATTTGTATAACAACCCAACAACTGCTACAGGTGTATAACAACCCAACACCCTACAGATGTATAACAACCCAACAACTGCTACAGGTGTATAACAACCCAACACCCTAGAGTTGTATAACAACCCAACACCATACAGTTGTATAAAAACCCAACACCCAACAGTTGTATAACAACCCTACACCCTACATTTGTATAACAACCCAACACCCTACAGTTGTATAACAACCCAACAACTGCTACAGTTGTATAACAACCCAACACCCTACAGTTGTATAACAACCCTACACCCTACAGTGTTGGGTTGTTATACAACTGTGGGGTGGAGGGTTGTTATACAACTGTAGGGTATAGGGTTGTTATACAACTGTAGGATGTTGGGTTGTTATACAAATGTAGGGTGTTGGGTTGTTATACACCTGTAGGGTGTTGGGTTGTTATATAACTGTAGGGTGTTGGGTTGTTATACAACTGGAGGGTGTTTGGTTGTTATACAACTGTAGGGTGGTGGGTTGTTATACAACTGTAGGGTGGTGGGTTGTTATACAACTGTAGGGAGTTGGGTTGTTATACAACTGTAGGGAGTAGGGTTGTTATACAACTGTAGCAGCTGTTGGGTTGTTATACAACTGTATGGTGTTGGGTTGTTGTACCAGTGTAGGGTATAGGGTTGTTGTACAACTGTAGGAGATTGGATTGTTATACAAATGTAGGGTGTTGGGTTGTTATACACCTGTAGCAGTTGTTGGGTTGTTATACAACCCAACACCCTACAGTTGTACAACAACCCTACACCCTACACTGGTACAACACCCCAACACCCTACAGTTGTATAACAGCCCAACGCCCTACAGTTGTATAAAAACCCAAAACCCTACAGTTGTATAACAACCCTACACCCTACATTTGTATAACAATCCAATATCCTACAGTTGTACAACAACCCTACACCCTACACTGGTACAACAACCCAACACCCTACAGTTGTATAACAACCCAACACCCTACAGTTGTATAACAACCCTACACCCTACATTTGTATAACAACCCAATATCCTACAGTTGTATAACAACCCTACACCCTACACTGGTACAACAACCCAACACCCTACAGAGGTATAACAACCCTACACCCTACAGAGGTATAACAACCCAACACCCTACAGTTGTATAACAACCCTACACCCTACAGTTCTATAACAACCCAACAACCTAGATAGGTTTGACAACCCTACACATTGCAGGGGTATGACAACTCCACACCCTAGATAGGTTTGACAACCCTACACCTTGCAGGGGTATAGCAACCCAACACCCTACAGTTGTATAACAACCCTACACCCTACAGTGGTTTAACAACCCTATACACCCTACACAGGTATAGCAACCCTACACAAATATAACAACCCTACATCATCCGCAGCCCTATACTCTTGATCTTGTTGTGAAACCAATTTTATATTTTGTTTTGTTTTAAATATGCTATTGATAACAAGTTTTACCCCTGATTGGAGTATAATGGGCATCATTTAACGGTCAGTCAGGTCAAAGGTCACCATTGACCACTTTTAAAGTAAAAAGCTTGTGTGCAAGTTATTAAGTGAACCCTTCAACAGAATTGTTGGATATGTACCCATCAGTTCAGTAAAATTAAGATCTATACCTGACAAGATTTTGGTGGTTATTGGTCAAACTTGGATCACAACTGATCACTTTTAAAGTAAAATCTTGTGTGCAAAGTGATGGAGCGGTGAAGTTATACAAACCGACAAACTTTCGGCCAGTCAAATATTTACCCTTTTCCATAAAATCCATATTTGCCAAGAGTTAACTTCAATCTTCTCTTGTTATCTAAAATTTGGTGTCATTATACCCCCCCACAACAAAGTAAGGGGGGTATACTGGAATCAGCTTGTCTGTCCGTTCGTCCGTCTGACTATCTGTCTGTTCGTAGAACAATTTTGTCCAGACAACTCCTTCTAAAGTAATGGACCGATTTCAACCAAACTTTCCAGATATGATAACTACCACCTGAAGTTGTGTATCCAGGCATTATATTTTCATTCTGACCCTTTTTTTTACAAAGTTTTGGCCCTCTGTTGAAAAACCCTGAAACTTTTTACTCCTTCTAAAGTTCTGGATCGATTTCAAGAAAAGTTTTCAGACATGATAACTAACATCAAAGTTGTGCATCCAGGTATTTTTTTGTCATTCTTACCCTCCTTCGAAAGTTATGGATGAATTTCAACGAAAGAAAGTTTACAGATATGGTAACTACCACCTGAAGTTGTGCATCCAAGTAGTACTTTTTCATTCCAACCCTTTTAAAAGGAGCCATGGCCCTTTGATAAATAAACCTTTGTCTGCCTCATAAACCACTGGGCCAATTTCAATGATTTTGTTTTCCATTTCAACCCTTTTTAAGGAGTTAAGGCCCTTTGTTAAACACCTTTGTCCAGACATCTTTTCCTTAACTAATAGGACAATTTTAGCAAAACTGGTTCATCTGGGCTAACCAGGTTTGGTATGTAAGTATGTTTTGGCATGGAGAGGGAGGGGAGTACAGGAAGTATATATGTCGGTGACCTGTATACTTTAATAAGTGTACAGCTCAGTCAATTCGGAAATCATTACTTGTCAGAGACTATGGATTGCTTTGCAATACTTTGCCTTAGTATAAGCCTTTAGCTTACAGTTCTGATTTATATAGGAGCAAAAGAAGACGGTTATACTGCAGCGATCATTTCCAGCTGTAGCATTGTATTGTGAAGCATAGTTAAATGAACCGAGGTTCATATGACCATGCATTTATAATGGTGAAACGATCTGCAGTTCATTTCACCATGCATGGCCTTCATATTACCATATTACACCAATATACAGTATATGTAACGGAATAGGTTGAACTGTGTTTTGTGTAACATTATATCCATGTCTGCTCACTATGATTTTACTAACTGCAGGTGATGTCACAGTTTCTTGTGATGTGGTCGTTACCTCTGGCTCTCTAAGTGCCACATTGGCCTCTAGTTACACGTACGATGCCAACCTCACTCCAGAGGTTACATCAGTCAGACCAGGACATGGAGGTACGGGCGGAGGCACCTTAGTCACAATTGAAGGCTCCGGTTTCGGGTGAGTATTGTTTGGTATTTCTGGTAAATTTGGTGTCAAGGAAATATATGCTTCTTTAACACGTAGAAGTCTATTAGTTTGCCCCCATGGTGACGTTCATTGGTCATTACGATATCTCAGCAAGTGTACACTTATCATATTCCCTTAATATAAGTCATATGACAGTTAGGTAGCATATACCCCCTAAGACATTCACAAACGAGTTAAAATTGCTAACAGGTATATTGTTGAATAGTTTCAGGATACTAATGCTATGCACTGTTGTGATTATTCAGAGTTGTACAGGCTGATGTGGATGTATCGATAGAAGGAGTGCCATGTGTCGTCCAATCAGTGACAGCGACAGAGGTCACATGTCTCACTGGTGCAAGGCAAGGTTCCGTCAAATCTATGGTGGACCTTCGAAAAAAGAACGGTGGCAAGGCAAAGCAGGTTGGTAAAGATTGATCTGTACAAGAGTGTATAAATAGGATAAGGATATGTTATGAAAAATCTGAAACACCATGCAGGAAGCTGAGCCTGACGTCCTCGGAAATTGTGTATCCCCCTCCCCCAACTGAAAACAGACCAATAAATCTGTTATTGATCATCCGTTTTTTCATGTGCATAGAACCACATACACACACGATTACATCGTTGTGAAATCTTAGCCTTTATTTGTTGATGCTCTACAAGCAAAACATATGCAAAATGACACAGTCCCGGGTGTGAAGTACACTGTGTAAGATTTAATAAGTGGATGGAAATTGTCGAAATTGGAATAATTTTCACACAGGTTGTGATTACTGCTTTTGTTTATTGGTATAATTTTCGTGTGGGATATCTTTAAGGTGAATATCGGCTCTAGTCGTATGCTTAATTCTATCAGGGCTGAGCTTTTTTTGTGGGGGTAGGAGGTGGAGGGGGAGTGGCTGGGGCACATAGAAAAGTTGATATAGATTTGATATAGGCTAATATATTGCTCTGATATGTAGTTATAATGTCTTCTATTGCCATATTCTTCAACTGATGTCATACAAAATATAAGTTCAAAATAAAAAAGGGTACTATGGTATAGATGTGTAGCCTTGCTTATACATAGCTGTCAGCCTCTGACACCTCCATTGAGGGAGATCTCCCTCATTCCACACCTCCATTGAGGGAGATCTCCCTCATTCCACACCTCCAGTGAGGGAGATCTCCCTCATTCCACATTTCCATTGAGGGAGATCTCTCTCATTCCACATTTCCATTGAGGAAGAAAGTGCGTGAAATGCTACTGAAACGGCGTCGTTCAACTTATCTTTTCGTTTTTAAGTATTCAAAATAACTCAGAAAAATATTAATTTAATTCAGACACACCCGTCATGATCATTACACACACCCTGCAATAACTAGAAGATCATTTGACAACAGGATGTAGATTTTGAGTTTGTGTGAGTTTGGACTTGAATGAGGGAGTTTTGACGGAGATTCGTTAATTATGGTCAAAATGTGGGAGTCTCCCTCCTAATGAGAGAGGGTTGACAGCTATGGGAGGGAGTCTCCCTCCTAATGAGAGAGGGTTGACAGCTATGGGGGGGAGTCTCCCTCCTAATGAGAGAGGGTTGAAAGCTATGGGAGGGAGTCTCCCTCCTAATGAGAGAGGGCTGACAGCTATGGGAGGGAGTCTCCCTCCTAATGAGGGAGGGTTGACAGCTATGCTTATGTGTTGTAAAAAGGATAACTGGTTTGGATATGATAAAGGAATGCGGTCCAGGTGTGCCGAGGGATATTTTAACTTGTAATTAAACTTCCTAAACTGGGGGGTAGAGACCCAACGTCCCTGCAAGGAAGTCAGTTCCATAGTGGCGGTAGGGATCCTGGGGTGGATACCTGAATGATATTCAACAGTGCTCATCAGGGAAATCAGAGCAAATGAAAATAGAAATGATGAGCAACAACACCACTGAATCCGGTTCAAAATGTAATGTTCGATTTACATCCTACAAGCTGACATGTTTCGCCAAAGGGAGGCCGTCTTCAGAGCACAGTTACATGATGTTTGCAATAATGGTACAATGACAATAAAGGGCATGTGACTAGAACAATAAAGAATAACTGTGACGTCATCAAGTCATTAATCATTAATTCATTGTTCAATTATTAAGGAGCCTGTGATGGTAGATTTTGATTTTAATGAATACGCTCATTTCACTTTTTATACCTACTTGGAAATGTGCCGAGGGTTAACCGAATTAAACTTGATTCTTACATCTGTTGCCAGAGGGTGCATTTGTGTTTTCCCAGACATTGTCAAATGTTTCATTTGTGTTTTCTTCAAAGATAAACACATATTTGTGTAATCCTAACCTATGTTTCATTAAAGACGAGTGCAGATTACGAATACCTTGACATCTGGAGTTCGTCGCTATCATGGGGTGGTAGCCCGCCACCAGTGGAGGAGGACTTCGTGGTCATTCCGTCAGACCAAACAATTCTATTGGATGTCACCACACCTACCCTCAAAATGCTGCTCATCCAGGGTAGGTTCACATGTAATGTTTGCAGTCTAATATAATCATGATTTTTTTTTATTATTTTGGTAATATTTCAATGATGTTTTTTCTATATGGAAAATAATCATTAAAATCCATTAATCAAAAAAGCTCAAAAACAATTATTACGACTTAAAATAAAACCATCCTATGTTTGTAAATTCAGCAACTGAATTTTTGTTTTTTAGAAATAAGTATTTTTTATTATGCACACTTCAATCAATGCTATATTGACCTTTGATAGAGAAAATAAAATCATCAAGACAAAAAGTAGAAGTAAGTTACAAAAAATAGAATTGCTAGTGTAAAGATCTGCTCAAAATATGTGGGCTTTAAAGTTTATTATATAAAAACAAGGCTTTAAATTGCAATGTTATCACTAAGAAAGTTATTTTCAGTTAAAGCACTGTTATTTGTATCATAATAAGTCAAGGTGTAGCATAAGAAAACTGTTAATTTTGTACAAAACTGGAATTAAAACCTCAGCATTAAAGAAGTTTGAAATGGTACAACTTGATACTAAATAAAATGAAATGTATGCCAAATTTTCGTTTTCTTCTTTTTATCTTGTAAACATAAATATTTGTATTATTTCAGGAGGGAAAGTCATTTTTGATGAAAAAGATATAGAGCTTCATGCTGAGTACATTCTGATAACAGATAATGGTACTCTGCAGGTATGTATATGGTGAAAACAGACAATAATAGTCCTCAGGTTTGTATCCCTCTAGAAATGACAACTGTACCCTTTATGTTTGTATCCCCTGACAACTATACCCTGCATTCTTGTATCCCTCTAAAACTGACAACTGTCCTCAGGTTTGTACCCATTGACAACTGACAACTGTACCCTTTATTCTTTGTATCCCTTGACAACTGACAACAGTCCTCAGATTTGTAACCCTTGACAACTGTACCCTTTCTACTTTGTATCCCATGACAACTGACAACTTTACCCTTCATACTTGTTTCCCTTGACAACTGACAACTGTATCCTTCATGCTTGTATCCCTTGACAACTGACAACTGTACCCTTTAAACTTTGTATCTCTTGACAACTGACAACTATACCCTGCATACTTGTATCCCTCTTAAACTGACAACTGTACCATTTAGGTTTGTATTCCTTGACAACTGACAACTTCATCCTTCATACTTGCATCCCTTGACAACTGACAACGGTCCTCAGATTTGTATCCCTTGACAACTGGCAACTGTACCCTTATACTTTGTTACCCTTGACAACTGACAAATGTATCCTTCATGCTTGTATCCCTTTACAACTGACAACTTCACCCTTTACACTTGTTTCCCTTGACAGCTGACAACTGTACCCTTCATACTTGTTTCCTTGACAACTGACAACTTCAACCTTCATACTTGTTTCCCTTGACAGCTGACAACTGTACTCTTTATACTTTGTATCCCTTAACAACTGACAACTGTTCCCTTTAGGTTTGTATCCATTGACAACTGACAACTTCATCCTTCATACTTGTTTCCCTTGACAACTGACAACTTCATACTTCATACTTGTTTCCCTTGACAACTTACAACTGTACCCTTCATACTTTGTATCCATTGACAACTGTTTCTTTCATGTTTGTATCCCTTGACAACTGACAACTGTATGACCTTGCATTTCATGTAATCATTCCGCACCTTGGGTGAAAATCTCCACTTTTGCGTTTTTTTTTTTTAAATGTCTAGTTTTAGACAATGCCAAGACTAAAAAGCTTAGATTTTTGCTTCTTGGGTTGAAATTGTTCTTTCATACAACAAAAGGGGAGAGGTATTAATTTCTTTCCTTGCACAAAACAGAAACATATCACTGAAGTGTAGAAGAAATAAACATCATTCACACCCGAACATGTTATAAACACAGCTGTAACTATTACCCCTTGTTTTATGTAGGTGGGGACAGAAAGGGATCCGTTCCAGCACCAAGCTTCCATAACACTACATGGTGATGTCCGGTCGACAGAATTGCCACTCTACGGTTCCAAAGTACTGGCCGTACGATCGGGGAACCTGCAACTTCACGGTAATTTTTCATCAATCTGCAAAATACTTTTAATTCATGCATGTTGTTTTTATTCAATACGCATGTTATTTAATTCAACATGGGCAATAGGGTCATATTGCTTCAAGTGTTTTCTTCTCTTCAACTAAGGAATATATTTCAATCATACTTGGTTGCCGGTATTATCAGGTAGTGGGGCTTCAAATTTTACCATTGGAGGGCTGGCCCCCAAGGCTGTGGGGCGTTGGCCCAAAAAGAGTTATTTAATGAGAATAAATAGACAATTACACATATTCCTCCAGGATGATCCCTAGGTCTGGTCCCACCCATGGACACTAAGTCACTGCATAATAACTTTTGAGATCTACACCCCAAAACCATATATACAATTACTTGGCATAAAGGCTCAAATACAATAATGGTATTAGAATTGACCTGGGGTCTGGCCACACCCCTAGGGACTTAGTTTCTGGGTAAAAGCTATGACACAGTTGTGATCCCCACCCAAAAACTATATATATATAATTGATGCATGGGCATAAAGAAATGAATACAATCATGCTACCAGAATCAGTCCTGGTGTCTGCTTTAACCCTTTCAACCCCATGTAACTTAAGTAGACTCTACCATGCATTGATCTGGATGAATCCATTATGGTCTACAGTGGTGAAAGGGTTAACCCCTGTGTCAATACATGGAAACATTTGAGACCCCCACCCTATTACAATATATAAGGCCTATGTACTATTTACTATTGCTGAGCATGCATGAAGATTTTGATATATACACACATATGCAGCCAGGATTGCAACAGGAGACTGGCATTATCCCTAGGATCGTATTTGCCACATTCCTTTTATTTATAATCTTTGCCATCATTGCTTTAATATCCAGATGAGCAATACAGGCCCTGTATGCCTCTTTTTTGTCCAATGAGTTAAGAAATGAAATAAAAAAACACTGTGATCATTGAAACTTTTCAGGCAAACCGTTAGTAAGGACCTGGACAGAGCTGGCACAAACTGCTGATGTAGGAGCAACTGTATTGACTCTTCAGGAGGCGGTCAACGACTGGTCAGTAGGTGACGAAATCGTCATAGCAACCACTGGACATCGCCACTCACAAGCAGAGACTGAGGTCAGGTATGTATTAGCTTGTTATTTTGTTGTTGATGATGACTCGGAGAAAGTTTTCATTGATGGTCATTTATTTGCAGACAGCTGGTCTCATTCCTGTCCTTCTGTTCTCTCTATCTCTAATGGTTATTGGCTACATTAATTGTACAGCATATCAAACTGTTTAAAAAACTCACTGCTATATAGGGCACAGAGACGATCACTGGTCACCACCAGTTTGACCTATTAGAATGCTTTGGCCTTAATTATGAATAGAATGCTTTTGCAATGTCATTATCCCATTTTGTTCTATAAGACTAATGTGTACGGTGTTTTGATGATGGTTTTGTAATTTGGGGATATGTATATCTACTTTTAATGAGGACTCCACATCTGAAATGTGGGTGGACTTATATACAGATCTCGGAATCCAGACGTGTGTATTTTGATTTTCTCCTACATTTTTTTTATAGCATGTCAGCTAACCACTCTTAGAATGATGCAGATCTTATTTCAATGTAAGAAAGTATATAACACTACATGTATATGACATTCGACGGGCGTATATTGTTCCGCTCCGCGGTACTCTTCTTATTTCTTTCATTAACCGTCGATGCATGCAGGAATTGGTTCCAATGCATCTACTTGTATTTTGATTAACCGTCCTAAAAACAGCTATTGTCATATCAAAAATATTGTTTAGATAGAGTATGTAGAGAAAAATGAATGAACAGAAGTGAAGTGAAGTGAAGTGAGAAAAACAATATTGTTACACCCCACGGTACTCTTGTTAAGGTTACAAGTGTGCAATTAATACCAGGTGAGTGATGCAGGCCATTTGGGCCTCTTGTTTAAGGATGTGCCTCCATGTGTGTTGTGTATGTGTGTTGTGTATGTGTGTTGTGTATGTGTGTATGAGTATGTGTGTATGTGTATATGTGTGTTGTGTATGTGTGTTGTGTATGTGTATGTGTGTATGTGTATGTGTGTTGTGTATGTGTTTTGTGTGTGTGTGTGTGTTTGTGTTGTGTATGTGTGTTGTGTATGTGTGTTGTGTGTGTGTGTTGTGTATGTGTGTGTCTATGCTGCAAGCAATATGTTGTTGTATTTGTCTCATTGTAATGGTGTGGATCTGATGCCAACTTTAGAATACCTCACTGAAATGAGAACAAGACATGACCTCTGTACAGGCAGGCGGCACTCTGCTTAAACAAGATACAGACGTATAACAGGTTTATACAACGTGGGTAAAATAAGTGAGGAAGCTGTGCTCCGGATTATCTTTGGTATCAAACATATGCACAAACGGTCATAACGATGTATATAGTGGGACACACGGCCTGACTTCTGTACGTAACACTGTATATAGTGGGACACACGGCCTGACTTCTGTACCTAACACTGTATATAGTGGGATACACGGCCTGACTTCTGTACGTAACACTGTATAAAGTGGGACACACGGCCTGCCTTCAGTACGTAACACTGTATATAGTGGGACACACGGCCTGACTTCTGTACGTTACACTGTATATAGTGGGACACACGACCTGACTTCTGTACGTAACACTGTATATAGTGGGACACACGGCCTGACTTCTGTACGTAACACTGTATATAGTGGGACACACGGCCTGACTTCTGTACGTAACACTGTATATAGTGGGACACACGGCCTGACTTCTGTACGTAACACTGTATATAGTGGGACACACGGCCTGACTTCTGTACGTAACACTGTATATAGTGGGACACACGGCCTGACTTCTGTACGTAACACTGTATATAGTGGGACACACGGCCTGACTTCTGTACGTAACACTGTATATAGTGGGACACACGGCCTGACTTCTGTACGTAACACTGTATATAGTGGGACACACGGCCTGACTTCTGTACGTAACACTGTATATAGTGGGACACACGGCCTGACTTCTGTACGTAACACTGTATATAGTGGGACACACGGCCTGACTTCTGTACGTAACACTGTATATAGTGGGACACACGGCCTGACTTCTGTACGTAACACTGTATATAGTGGGACACACGGCCTGACTTCTGTACGTAACACTGTATATAGTGGGACACACGGCCTGACTTCTGTACGTAACACTGTATATAGTGGGACACACGGCCTGACTTCTGTACGTAACACTGTATATAGTGGGACACACGGCCTGACTTCTGTACGTAACACTGTATATAGTGGGACACACGGCCTGACTTCTGTACGTAACACTGTATATAGTGGGACACACGGCCTGACTTCTGTACGTAACACTGTATATAGTGGGACACACGGCCTGACTTCTGTACGTAACACTGTATATAGTGGGACACACGGCCTGACTTCTGTACGTAACACTGTATATAGTGGGACACACGGCCTGACTTCTGTACGTAACACTGTATATAGTGGGACACACGGCCTGACTTCTGTACGTAACACTGTATATAGTGGGACACACGGCCTGACTTCTGTACGTAACACTGTATATAGTGGGACACACGGCCTGACTTCTGTACGTAACACTGTATATAGTGGGACACACGGCCTGACTTCTGTACGTAACACTGTATATAGTGGGACACACGGCCTGACTTCTGTACGTAACACTGTATATAGTGGGACACACGGCCTGACTTCTGTACGTAACACTGTATATAGTGGGACACACGGCCTGACTTCTGTACGTAACACTGTATATAGTGGGACACACGGCCTGACTTCTGTACGTAACACTGTATATAGTGGGACACACGGCCTGACTTCTGTACGTAACACTGTATATAGTGGGACACACGGCCTGACTTCTGTACGTAACACTGTATATAGTGGGACACACGGCCTGACTTCTGTACGTAACACTGTATATAGTGGGACACACGGCCTGACTTCTGTACGTAACACTGTATATAGTGGGACACACGGCCTGACTTCTGTACGTAACACTGTATATAGTGGGACACACGGCCTGACTTCTGTACGTAACACTGTATATAGTGGGACACACGGCCTGACTTCTGTACGTAACACTGTATATAGTGGGACACACGGCCTGACTTCTGTACGTAACACTGTATATAGTGGGACACACGGCCTGACTTCTGTACGTAACACTGTATATAGTGGGACACACGGCCTGACTTCTGTACGTAACACTGTATATAGTGGGACACACGGCCTGACTTCTGTACGTAACACTGTATATAGTGGGACACACGGCCTGACTTCTGTACGTAACACTGTATATAGTGGGACACACGGCCTGACTTCTGTACGTAACACTGTATATAGTGGGACACACGGCCTGACTTCTGTACGTAACACTGTATATAGTGGGACACACGGCCTGACTTCTGTACGTAACACTGTATATAGTGGGACACACGGCCTGACTTCTGTACGTAACACTGTATATAGTGGGACACACGGCCTGACTTCTGTACGTAACACTGTATATAGTGGGACACACGGCCTGACTTCTGTACGTAACACTGTATATAGTGGGACACACGGCCTGACTTCTGTACGTAACACTGTATATAGTGGGACACACGGCTTGACTTCTGTACGTAACACTGTATATAGTGGGACACACAGCCTGCCTTCTGTACGTAACACTGTATATAGTGGGACACACAGCCTGACTTCTGTACGTAACACTGTATATAGTGGGACAGACGACCTGACTTCTGTACGTAACACTGTATATAGTGGGTTTGTCCATAATAGGTTTGTAATTCTAATCCAAATAAGGTTAGGAAACGTCAGCTACTGCATCAATAGCCAGAGTTGTTAACTATATATACACTAGGTTTTGTTCTTTAACAATGAATCATATAGTAAAAGTCATATAAATAAATGACTTTCAATACATAATTTGCATTGAATAGTGTAATCGATAATCGGAATCGTAAAGGGCAAACTGATGATTTTTGATTTTATTTGATCATTAACTCATTACTAGTAGCAAGTTTGATGAATGTAGGAGGAATAGCACGAAAGTTATGGTCCTGCCAAAATGTTTATTTTTGTTTTTTTTCTGCCAAAATGTTGTTGCCAACCGAACAATGATGTATGCATGGTTATCCACCCTGTCTAACATTGGTGTATCAAAAATAGTACCTCTCAGTCCACAGTCCAAATAACAGTACGTATATATATTGATGTATTTTTGTAGAACTATTACTGGGGTGTCTGGAAATGGACTGACCTTAACACTGGACAGTGGCCTGACTTACAAACACGTCGGTGAGCAGGAGACCTTTGGGAACAGAGTGGTTAGCTACAGGGCGGAAGTTGGTCTACTGACCCGGAACGTCGTCGTACAGGGTGCGATGAGTGAACAATGGAACGATGCAATTGAGGCATGCCCGGACGGCTTTGATACAGGTAAACTTCTATTCTAACTCATTCACCCCTGCAGACACATTTGAACTCCTTCAGTTTAAAGGTTGGAAAAGTTTATAATGAAATTTCAGGAGTGATTGAGTTAATAATTAATCTATACACTTAGTCCTACTATATAGAAATGACTCGTGTACATTCACCCCTGCAGACACATTTGAACTCCTCCAGTTTAAAGGTTGGAATAGTTCATAATGAAATTTCAGGAGCGATTGAGTTAATAATTAATCTATACACTCCTACTCTATAGAAATGACTTGTGTATAGGTAAATTTGACAGACAACTAACTGTGGTCAATATGTGTCTGTATAGGAAGCTTTGGTCTGAAGTACGAGTGATCATGGCATGAAGCATCTCTCTTAAGTTTAATTATTACAAATTTCCCAGAAATGTCTTGATATCGGGTCTTGACATATCATCAATTTGTCCTGCATGTGTACAATTGTTTACCTCGTGTTATTTTAATATATCTACATTGGCATGGCATTGTCACTAGATATTCTACTTGAAAGCTGTGTCGTTGATGGGACTTTTAATACATGCACAACGAGACACAATCCTTAGCCAATCAACACGTGACGATAAGCTGTCTCAGTTATTGGACATTTGTGCAAACTGTTGATAAGATTTTTTAGTGAAGCATTAAGGCCCCTTTAATTGCTATCTTGTTTTTATGAAAAGCCATGCTTAGCATACATGATCATGGATTTAGAGGGTTCTCTATGTAGATCTCTTCTGCTACTGTAGCAGTTATAAATATTCTCATGACTAAAGATATCATATCAAACAGACCTGTTCTTCTATTGTGCATGTTCAATGTTTCAGGGGAATTCGCAACCCAGACCTGTTTCCAGGGACGATTTGGAGAGGAAATTGGAAACGACCAATTTGGGGTTCAAATAATAATGCACACTGCAAATTCAATGGCTCAATTGGAGTATGTTGAGGTGAAGAAGGCAGGCCAAGCATTTCGCCTCGGCCGTTACCCGGTCCACTTCCATCTTATTGGTGATAATAAAGGTTCTTATGTGAAGGGCCTGTCCATTCACGACACATTCAATCGTGCTGTGAACATTCATGGAACCAACGGCCTCTTGGTTAAGGATACTGTGGTCTACAACGTTATGGGAGGGGCTTTGTTTCTTGAGGATGGAGTAGAGATGGGCAATATATTTCAATATAATCTTGTCTTATTCGTAAGTATTGACAAAATTTCTTTCTTTTTTACTGTTAATTTTCTGTGAATGATTGTATCAAAAATACAGTAGTTGGGGGAGTTTAAATACAAATCAAAGCTTGAAAAGTACCTTTATGTAAATATATATATATATTTCTACCATATAGTGACCACCTTCAACTTATTGAAGATTTTGTCACGAATATTTAATTTGATTTTTGAAATATCATGCTGGAGGACGTTGTTTGGAGAGTTATATATAATTATGTTACCAAACATACTTTGTATCCCTTGACAACTGACAACGGTCCTCAGGTTTGTATCTCTTGACAACTGACAACTGTACCCTTTATACTTTGTATCCCTTGACAACTGACAACTGTACCCTTTATACTTATACAGGTGAAGGCCAGTTCCAGTCTCCTTAATGATGACATTACTCCGGCTTCTTTTTGGGCAACTAATGCTAACAACACGTACGAGTACAACCATGCCGCCGGAGGAACCCATTTTGGTTTTTGGTATAGGTTGCTTCCTCATGCTGAGGGGCCATCAGCATCAGTCTATCCCAATCTAACACCGGATAATATACCGCTCGGCTCGTTCAAGGGAAATGTAGTCCACTCTTTCGGCTGGTTTGGAGTTTGGGTGTTTGAGAGATATGATCCCACGGTAAAAGGCATCGCCACTGAAGCTCCAAGCCCTGCAGTCTTCAGTGACACAACTGTATGGGGATGCGAGAAAGGGTTTGAATTTGTGCGGATGGGATCTTTCGTTGTAGACAACTGTGTTTTCGCTCACAATGAAAAAGCTGGATTTGAAGTGAAGCTCACGATTGGCAATCAAGTAGGGAGCAAGTACTTGTTAAACAACACTGCCATAATCGCCTACTCTCCATACCTAGCGGATCATCACGAGTGGTCTGGCGGAGACGTGATCGGCAGTGGCATCGTACTTAGCTATGGAAGTGGGATGGAGACTCAATCTGTCTCATTTTACCGCTACAATAAGGCCCCTTATGCAACACTTACATTCACGCGCGTTCAGGGGACTTGTATAGAGAGGTGTGGTGGCTTCAACTACATTTTTAATGACATCAGTTTTATTGATTCTACAAGAAAACTTGTGTATGACTGGGAAAACCAAGGAGTACTCATTGACCAGGATGGGTCTTTGACTGGGGTCGCAGGAGGCCACACAATTGCCCCTAAAAGTTCTGCTTTGCCTTCCAGGTATATTCTTTCATATTTTTCACTCCTTTCTTGTAAACAGTAAGTTAACAGTGATTTCCTGCCTAGTTTTACAGCTAAATACAGACAGCTTCCTCGCATTAATTTCCCAAAACGGAGAAAAAAATAGATAATCGTCCCTATTTCATCGAAAATCATGCCATATTTTTCTCAGTTATTCGAATCATGTGGGAACAGGCTGTTGTAAGATTTAGGAGAAAAAACACTGCAGTTAAGTAGAAATATAAACAAAGTAAAGAAAAACTGTTTTCTTTTGTTCCGAACATGGTTATTTTGATCTAATCCTTAAGTATCATAATCATAAAATAGACTTTATGAGAGCCAGTGACTTTATGATGCTCATTTTTGACTAGCTGTGTCCTACAGATTTCATTCAAATTGCCAAAATATTCAATAATGTCAATATTCAATAATTCCTAATAATTAAAAGGTGTGAGAGAAAAAAAATGGTGTTTATGTCTAATGAGGGCATTTACAAAAATCAATGATTGGTTTGGTTTGGTATAATTTGTTTGACATCCTATCAACAGCTATGGTAATTTAAGGACGGCCTCCCCTGTGTGCAAGATGCATGCGTGTAGTGTATGTCTGGGTTTTTTTGGAGGCTGAGATATGTTCGTGTTTGTCTCCTTGTGATAGTGCGGAACTGATGCCGACTTTATAGTGCTACCTCATTGAAACATGTAACTGTCGAAGACACCCCCACCCGGTCACATTATACTGACATTGGGCGAACCAGTCGTCCCGCTCCTAAAGAGTAGAAACTACCATTTTTACAGACTCTGGTATGTCTCGGCCAGGGGACAGAACCCAAAGCCTTCCTCACAAGGGCGAACACTCAACTAAAGGCCAAAAGTGAGACATTGTCAAGGGAGACATTATGAAAAAGAGAGTTGTTTAGAAGAAGAGAAAAGATAAGATCCCCAAATTTAGTCACCTCTTACGATCATGCAATGGCAGCAGATACAATTCTTACGCCCTACCTGCAGAGTAAATGTATCTTGTGAAAAGTATTGATTTGAACTGTTTATAACTGTATTGGAGTTTTAATACCTAATTTTTGACACCTCTGAGTTGACATATATAAAAATGAAATAAATAATTTGTGTTCAGAATCCAAAATCAACCCTTTCACCCCTATGTAACTTTAATAACCTTTGCCATGCATTGATATGGATAAGTCCATTATGGTCTACAGTGGTGAAAGGATTTAGTGGACATATTTCAAAAAGAATTTTAATAAAAAAATGTCTGTAGTTAATTGAAACCAGTTTTATTTGAGCAATTTAATGATAACAAAGAAAATTTAAAGATCCTTTAAAAAAGCATTTATATGGTAAATTTCATTAGATTAAAGTTGATATGAAAAAGGTGTTTCTCATCCATAATTTGATGGGGAAAAAATGTGGATTTTATTAAATGAACCTGCACTGCTGAACCACAGTGTTATATGCAGTAAGTCTACATAGAGCTGGTCAAAAGTCAAACCACATTTGTAACTTAACCCTTTCACCACTGTAGGCCAAAATGGACTCATCAAAATCAGTGCATGGAAGAGTTAACTCAAGTTACATAGGGGTGAAAGGGTTAGTATCTAAATGATCTCAAACACGCATTGCTTTGCAGTCATTTTAGATTTTTTATTGCTCCCTCAAACCAAGGCCAGTAAATGTGTTAAAGATGTGGATTAATTAGGTTGCCTTACAAGCTTCAGCTGTAGGTAATTTCCCTTTTAAGCTTAGTGGTAGAGCATCTGGCTGGAGAGCTAAGGGTCGCGGGTTCGAGCCCCAGCGACGGCACTATCTTTATCACTATTCTTTGTCCTATTACAAATTGGTGCCGTGACCAGGGTTGGTGTTTGAAAAAAGGGGGGAATAGTGTAAAAGATGTGGATTTAAATTAGGTTGCCTTACAAGTGTCAGCTGTAGGGAATTTCCTCGTTCTATTACAAATGTATGATTGTTATTTTTTGCTTATTCACCAATATTAACTTATTCACCCCTGTAATTTCATAATGAACTATTCCAACCTTTGAATTGGAAGAGTTCAAATGGGTCTTCAGGGGTTGATGATTTAATGCTTCCATTACTTTATTTTTTTTCAGCTGCACCGATGCCCCAGCTGAATTCCAAATTGGTGTATGGACTGCATCCTTCTGTCCCAACACAGTGAAGTTTGGTCATGTTGCTTTCAACAAGATAACACCCGATTCTCTTTTCGCAACAACTGCATTTTTCGAGAATAGCAACGGCATTGCGCAAGCTGAGTATGAGTTCCATAGGGTCACCCATTCCGAAGGCAATATGGGCCTGTTACCACTGAACTACGACTACGATTTCAGTTTCCAAGGTTCCCAGCAGATCACAAACATCAGCTACACTGCCACCTTCTTCGACATTTCTGTAAGATTTCAAGAGAAAAGAAACAATTAATGAATTCACTGATATTAACTCATTCACCCCTGAAATTTCATAATGAACTATTCCAACCTTTGAACTGGAAGAGTTTAAATGCGTCTTCAGGGGTGAATGAGTTAGGTAATTTTCAATGTAATAAGTTAAACTTCATAGGAAAGTTAGTTAGCATAAAGGCTCGGAAAGGTTGATAATCAATACTGTTCGACTGTAATTTACTGAGTTATGCCCCTTTAATCAATTGCTGGAACAGAGTGCGCTTCATACCTTGATGGTGTTTTATTGTATTTATTTTATTTCACCCGTTCGTCTACCAGGTGTGTTGAATCGTTTCTCCTTTAACATCAATTGATCACAACTATTTATAGATTTCAATGATACAAACAACTACTCATTCATTGTGTACTATGTACCATTTTGCAGAAACCTTGTTCAAGATTAATTTCTAGCCCTGCAAAAAGTCTTTCATTTTCTGTACCAGAATTAGCTGAGAGAATAAGATTATATTCTGAACATTATTTAGGAATTTCAATGCAACTCTTTGACATTTGTGGTGGTGAGATGCAAGACAGTTCCTTTCAAACCTATTCCATGATGGGCGGAAGCACATCATGGAGAACTTATCGTAATGGAGCTGTGTTGCAATGATACTGTATGTAAATGTAAGTAAACATACTTAACCCTTTCATCCCTATGTAACTTTAGTAGACTCTACCATGCATTGATATGGATGAGTCCATTATGGTTTACACTGGTGAAAGGGTTAACTGTGTTTATAGACACATGATATATATTTCTAACATCAGATCTGTTGAGGGAAACTCACCACACATTAGAAATATATGTCACAGTTTTCCTGCTACAGGTTTTCTTCTGACATAATAATTAACCCTTTCACCCCTATGAAACTTAAGTGAACTCTACCATGCATCAATTTGGAAGAGTCCATTACGGTCTACAGTTGTGAAAAGGTTAATTATTAAACATTCTAATACTTTAGGGGAGCAATTTCATCAAAGTATGCCACCGACTTGAGAGAAAGCCAGACCGGTTCTATTACTATGATGGCATGGGTGAGGACGATGTCTGGCCGATGTCTCTAAATCCCCTAGATGGCAGTGTCAACGTTGACGGGGACTGGTACTACAATGACAGTGAAAAGAAATTTTGTTATCTGGGTGAGTACCCTTATTTCATAAGCCTTGCATGTCCCATTCCAGGAAGAAGAACCCATCACAAACATATTTAAACACAATTTTTCAAAGACAACATAATTTAAACACAATTTTTTGAAGACAACGTAATTATAGCTAACACCTGAAAAAGATGGTGCTTTTTAAGAGTGGTATATTTTAGTCTTGTACACCTGGAGTGTATCACAATGTTTTGTTATACAGCAGGAATGTACTGATAATGGATTCATCCAGATCAATGTATGGTAGAGTCTACTAAAGTTACCTAGGGGTGAAAGGGTTTAACCATGGCTTGTCCTGGTACTGTTCTCGCTCCAAATCACATTCGAGATTAAATATTGGACCTGTTGATTTATGGAACAATCTTACATCTAATGTTGTGAAGTCAAGCACTGTTAAACAATCTGAATATAAATTACATGAACACTTGCAAAACCAAATGCAAAAATACAGGTTTAAAGAAAAATCTAATTTCAAATGTTGGAACTTTTTGAAATGTTTTTATATACATACTTTTTATTTCAGAAATGACGATTAAAGGACTGTAAAATGCTACTTTGTCAGAATGAAATCCATGGATCTATGTACCTATGTATCATTCATTGAATGTAAGAAAAACAAGAAAATAGTAATAATTTTCTGTATTTCTAGTGAGTGGAACTAAGGACAGTGACAGACCAATCAAGGCATCTGGCCCCGACATAATGACTACAATCAACGCCTTTAAGTGTGAGTACGATGACTGTATTACACCGGACCCTAACAGCTTCCCTCCTCAATGTTCTCCAACCAACGGTCAGAGTCAGACTTGGTCCACTTTCGACTGGAGCGCTGTGCCGCAGGAAGACTGCTTAACATGGGACAGTACTCAATCAACTTGTTTACCACCCAGTGATGGCGACGACCTACTCATTCCCGCTGGTATGTATATTATATGTGAGAAGGTTTAAAGCCATTATTTTAATGTTAACAGTAGCACAACTTGACATGTTAAATCTGTATTTTGTGTAAGAGTTATCTCCCTTAATAAATGGAAATAGCACTATATATTTGAACTGTTGAACAAATTACTATTTTTTTATTGTAGTGTATACAACTTTATGTTGAAATATGTGGCTTTTCTGCAAAAAAAAATCATATAAAAAATTCTCCATTTGTAAGAAAATCATCTGACTATACGCTTGATATACGTTATTTCAGAAGATGACTGCTAGTTGGCCAAAAAGGCTAAGTTTAACTGCTACATGAAAACTTTCCTTGTTTACGGTAGTGATTTGTTAAATTTTAGTTTCAACAATCCTGAAAATGTTTACATTCTTGTTTTCATTATTATTTTTGTTTACGTAAGGTACATGGATGATATTAGACGTCAGTCCCCCAGTACTGAATGAACTACGTATAGAAGGGACTTTGGAAGTCCAACAGGGAGCTACAGGGATTAAGATTACAGCAACATACATCTACGTTTTCAAAGGACAGTTTCTCATTGGCTGCAACATAAACAATCCATTCACTGGTTCTGCTGTCATCAGCCTCAGGGGAAACCACTCCACACCCGTCTTTGAATACCCTAGTGGACATTCAGGACCAAATTTGGGGTCAAAAGCTATAGGTTGGTCTCTAAGATATATGCACAATGTAATAAGTGTAATTGGATTATTTTTAGCCCACCATCACCATGTGTGTATGTATGCTGGAGACAGGGTATGTTGGCGTATGTGTCACCATGTGTGTATGTATGCTGGAGACAGGGTATGTTGGTGTACGTGTCACCATGTGTGTATGTATGCTGGAGAGTGCAGCACAGCATTTCGTCAACAGTACTTAAGATCAATTTGAATATGCAGCTTTTAAGCTTCAAGCATCAGTGACAAGTCCGGAAGCGACGAAACATCTTAATTCATGCTGCAGTGTAATTAATTTATGGCATGATAGCATAAACCTGGTACTGTAAAAAGTGGAATTATTCACACTGTTGAAATATTCACCTTTGTTTTGTCAAGTGAAGTAGTGCAAAAACATCAACATGCATATATTCATTTATTTTGAAAATATATTTTGCTGATACATAGAACATTATATATTTGAGAACTATTACCAACTTACCAACCCAAAAAATGCCACAACTTAATTAGTGGAAAGAGTCATAACACAAACATTTCCAGATGTGAAAACTTCCAATTCTATATAGTATTTCCTTGATTGTTGTCAATAGGTGTGTTTGGAGCGTTAATGTTGAATGGACTGGACCCCGAAACGACTTGGACGACCATTACGGCTACTGCTAATGCCGGTACCAGCACCTTGACCTTGGCTAAACACGCTTTCTGGAATGTAGGCGATCGTATTGTTGTCGCAGCGTCGAGGTTTAATCCATGGGAAGCTGAAGTTGCAGAAATATCAGGATTGCGCCATGAGTCAGATCACACCGTTTTAACCTTGAGTGGGCCATTACAGTACGATCATATATGTAAGTGCTTATACATTATAGATATGTAACAATTCCTAACACATAACAATTGGTCGGATTTTGGCTGACATCACGGTAGTAAGATTGCTGTGAAACATGTAGGTATTGCAGTAATTATAAGGGCATTGGAGACGAAGGTACCCTGTAGTAAGTCAAGGTGTCCGTCCGTCCGTCCGTCCGTCTGTCTGTAATCCATCCACACTTTCCCGTCAGGAGATTATCTTGGAAACCGAAATACTAATCTTTCTAAAACTTTGACACGGTGATGCTTTGTTAAATGTAGATTCAAATAGGCATTTAAATATTTTGTAAGGTAAAGTTCAAGGTTGATGTCACTGAAAATAGACTGTTAAGGGTACTGTTCTAATTTCGAAATCATAAAGTCTAATCTTTTTGAAATTTGACATGATGAAACACTGAGATATGTAGATTTGCAATAGGGATTTAAAAAAGTTTTTCAGTTCAAGGTCAAGGTTACTGTTACTAAAATTAGAACGGAGCTGTGGGAGTGGACAGTTAGGTTAGGTACATGAGGTGGCGTAGCCCTTACTGACCTGTCAGTGTTCTAGTTTGGCTTAAGATCATTACAACAGCCCATCATCACAGCCGAAATTCAATCCAATCATTGTATAAACATTTTTAGATTAACAACATATAGAAAAGTGATGTTCACTCAAATTATATCCTTTTTGAATCAAAGTCAAAATGTTTTGCATGTACAATTGGGAAAAAACACCCAGTAAATTCCCAAAGCTGTATTGATGTCACAATGTAAGTGGCATAAAGCAAAGAACCAAGACCATACCCCTGTAGTTCTATTAAGTGTATCAAAATGGCATGACGATACTAATATTTCCTCATTTTTTAAATCATCTTGCCCAAAGAGCCAAGCTAGATACTGAACCAAGTGTGACATCTGTCTTTTTTCTGGTCCTCCAACAATGTACCAAGGGTCATGATATTTTGCAGTACAAACTGGATGAAGGGCCATCATGTTTATTCAAAGGAGTGACCTTGTCCTATGAATGACTTTTTCCTACATTAATGGTCACTTGGGTTAAATATATATATAATCAGGTAACGGACAATGTCATGTCCACCCGTACTGTTCAAGGTCTCTCCCGTGCCTCCCAAAAATATCGCTACACATGACGATCATCCATCCCACACTTTAAAGATACTTACCTCATACATACCATAAGAAAAATACTAACAAAATATATAATATATAGTTGTGTACGTGACACTTTTGTCAAATTTGAGTTTGAACATTGGTTTTGTTGTATGCTTTTTGTCCCTCTGTAATTACTTGCAAGGTGAAATGTGATAAATGTTTATTCTGTCCCTGACAAACTGGTGATGTTCCTGGGCAATTTAAAATTAAAGATGACCACCCTAGCTTTTAGATCGGTTGAGTTATTGTTAAGTTCTTGCCTGGAACGATTTGTTGTAGAAAGTGTCCGATACAAAAAAATCATTCCAGGTGGCTCTGATCAACAGACTGCTAATAATAAGTCCATAATGACCAATATGGTAAAAAAACAAAACTTAAAAGGGCATCTTATATGTAATATAACTAGAATTAGAATGGTTTTTATCAATGCTTAACAGAAATGTTGAGTATATACAAATTTCTGTATCAATAAAATGGTTGATTTCCAGTCACATCGGAAACGCTCGACACAGATGTATCTTACACAATGGCTGCTGAAGTGGGTCTGTTGACACGCAACATCAGAATCGAAGGAGAGTTTTATGACAACATTCAGACAGAGGCATTTGGAGGACGTGTAATTGTCAGCGGAGCTCAGTTTGGTGATGACCTTGTAGTGGGTAAGTAATAAATGACCAGGGATGACAGATTGCAAGTCATTTTCATGTGCAGGGATGTAGTGTAGGGAGGTTCAACCTAAGGGTTTTCAAATTGTGTAAAACCAGAGGTTCTCCCGTGGATATTGAACAACAGTGTAATTTCCCTATCTTACAACCCTGGGCATGGTTGAGACAATGAATTGATGATCCTGACAAGGTGTAATTTTCCAAGATGGCTGCAACAACAACAATTTTGTAAAGCTGCACTTCACTGTTTTTTTATATACAGTAACACCCCTTAACTTCCCTTTTGATATAGCTACATGTAGCAGAGTTGGGCTAGGACACTTCTGTTTACCAGCTAGCTCAATCAGAAAGAGAAACAGTATAACAATCTGAAGTCCAGGGTTCAAATCTCCCTCTAGCCCAGATGTTTTTTTTCACACCCAGAACACTGTTGTCTACTTATTTCATCTTCATTATTTCTCATAAAAGTCACGCAAGATATAGTTTTCTTTCAGAAATAATTAATCAAAGCTATGGTCATGCCAGAAGAAACTGTTCCCAACACTTAGTTACAGTTTTTGGCAGTGGTACAGTGATCCTTAACCCTTTCACCCCTAAGTAACTTTAATAGACTCTATCGTACATTTATATGGATGAGTCCATTATGGTCTATAGTGGTAAAGGGGTTAATAGACTATTACTGCATCTTTTTAATCTTAAACTGGGACTGAATGACTTGACAATGTGTTGCTACAGGGTAAAATCATATCCCAGACGTGGGGTCAAAGATCATCATCTGCCTTTTTGTCTCTGCATAGTCAAAGTGTTAGTTCTGATGAAATGAAAAAAATGTCTTCATACCTTCCATCTTGAATTACTTAGATATGTTAACAGTGACTAATACTTAGACTACAATAGTGGCCAATATTAGATATGTTAACCCTTTCACCCCTTTTGTAACTTTAGTAGACTCTACCATGTATTGATATGGATGAGTCCATTATGGTCTACAGTGGTGAAAGGGTTAACAGTGATTAATACTTAGACTACAATAGTGGCCAATATTTGTGTTTGAGTAAGTGTCTCCTTTGAAAACATTTACTCATATGGGCAGAGTAATAAGAATGATGTTACCCCTTACCCCAGGTAGGCAGTGCTCAAAGGGGGATGGATATTGGATATTGGCAAAAAATTGTTAAGAATATATTCTGAATACTTTAATCAATTTCTGAAATGATTTTATCATAGATGTGTATGCCACAGTCCATTGGACATCATTCCACCTTGATAGAAATGGTAAAGGTTTAATGAGGTTCATATAGGGAAATACATATAACAATGTTTGAAGTATTTTGTTTACTTTAAAGAGGATATAATCATTCAAACCTGATTAGACATTTTATCTTTGGATACATGATGGTCACAGTGTCCATGCTCTGTTTTCATGTCTGAAGCAGAGTATTGAAATTTTTACCAGTATTGAAATTTTGATAAACATTTCAAAATTCTTCAGATTAAGCAAAATAACCAAATCCATCAGTTTTTTGTTTTAGAAAATTCTTTCATCCTTTCCATTACAATTTTGCACTGCGATAATCTTGACTTTGTACTTAGCTTATAACAAACATAAACGCTCATTTATGTGTTTAATGTTTTTCTTGCAGGATATGCGAATCTTTCCAACGTACATTTCCTAAACATGGGGCAAGAGGGATTCACAAGTAGATACGACCCACGTCATGCACTCGCGTTCAAAGACGTTGGAGATACTTCGACTGGCAGCAAGCCAAGTGCCGTCGTAAATTGCAGTTTCGAAGATAGTCTCGGCTCATCTGTGATGGCTGTAGGTGCCGATAACTTACTGATCCAAGGAAACGTCTTTTACAAGAGTGTTGGACCTGGTGAGTTTTTATAAAGACTGGATTCAGACTTGCCAACTTTCTGAGATTTCCATGAGGGAAATGTATGTACACCCACGGGAAAATAATAACACCTATAATGGCATCTTTCAGATAAAATCATCAGATTTTAGAAAATGGAAATAGTTTAACAAATTCACTGGTTGAAACTGCTCAATTGTAGGGTCCAAAATTGGGAGTCTCCCTCCAATATAGGGAAAGTGGGCAAGTATGTGGACTAATTAACCTTGAACTATTATACAAATTATTACCTGGTAACTATGAGCGAGAAATAGCCATAACCTTATAACTGTGAGCTAAAAAGAATAACTTAATCAGGTAACTTTGAGCTAGTAAAGACCTTTAACCTGATTGTGAGATCAAGGGCTACCATGTTGGCTCCAATGAATGACTTTGACTCACTTTTAATGTCAGAGGGTCAATTTTGTTGAAACATTAAAAACAATCATTTTGAATAATCAAGAGGCCCAGATTTATCTTTGGCCAGTATTATGATGGGTGTGAATGTCTACCAGGTTTGTTTAAATTATTAACTGTACCCAATGTCAAGGTCAAAGGTGTCAGATGTGTTTAAATCTCTTCAATCAACTTCTTTTGAATAACTGAGAAGTTAAGAATCATGATCGCACATCTACAACATACTGGACAGAAGGTCAAGGTCCATCACACAGAAGGTCAAGGGCCATCAAACAGAAGGTCAAGGTCCATCACACAGAAGGTCAAGGGCCATCAAACAGAAGGTCAAGGGCCATCAAATTCAATCAAATGGTCAATTTTTTATGTCACAGAGATCCAATATAACCAAAGGGTCAAAGGTCATTAATTAGGGCCCTGCATCAGATATGGGTGACGGCTCTGTTCCTTTGTCTGCATGTCCCCACTTTCATTTCTAGAGATTTTTGTGAATTAAAAGACTTTGATCCACTACAAAATCAAGCTTTTGAATAATCTTTGACTGCTAGTAACTGCTAGTATACTAAGGTAAACAGTATTTAGCCTTTTGCATAAAGGCTTTCTTTTTTTAAAATCAAATCATAACTTGACCTACTTTAAAAGTCACATATGAATGGTGTATTTGTTAACACCAATGAATGATGGGTGATCAATAGGCCCATATAGCCTCTCATAATGAAGTAGTAGTGATGTAACAGGAGAGGAATAATGCACGGCTAGACCGGCGTTCAAACCCCAGACCTTCGGAACTCTAGACGGACGCTCTACAAATTGAGATATCTGGTCGCCGACAAACTACCCAGTCCAGTTCCGCTACATTCCTCCCTCCTTTTTCTAACTCTTGGCCCCTGATGACACATTTATTTACAACCCAGGTTTGGGTATCCCCTTGCCAAGCATACACCAAATGCTCGAGACAAGGGTTAGTCACAGGCACCACTGTAACAGGAGAGGAAAAATGCACGGCCAGACCAGGGTTCCAACCCAGGACCCTCCGAACTCTAGACAAACACTCTACCAATTGAGCTACCTGGTCACTGACAATCGACCCTGTCCAGTGCCACTTCAGTGGCAACATCGAATTACAACCAGATGATGAATTGCATTTGAACAAGTAGATCTCATTATAGCTATTGAACTATTGATTTTTGGTGTCCAGATTCCCTTCACACTGAGATGAAGGCACCTGTGTTATATATTTCTCATCACATGTACAGGGTCCAAGCATGTAGAATGTGAATATTTCTTGGTGATTATTTCTTATATAGAAAGCTGTGATGGTAAAACTTAGCAATTACTCATTATGCACAGTCTCAACAATGGAGTGGTCTTCAGTAAAATAGACTTCACTCAATCAAGTATAACAATGATTCCTCCCCATTAAAATTCAATCAAGTATAACAATGATTCCTCCCCATTAAAGCTCAATCAAGTATAACAATGATTCCTCCCCATTAAAACTCAATCAAGTATAACAATGATTCCTCTCCATTAAAACTCAATCAAGTATAACAATGATTTCTCCCCATGAAAGTATCATTATAAAACAATCAAAAGTGATAAATTTACTTCCATGTTAACTTATCGACTTCTCTCACAACTTTGTGTTTTTCAGCAATTGTAACCTTTTCATCGCACACACAAATAATTGGAAATATGATATCAGGATATATTTTCCCTGGATCGTTCAATGGCCGAAATGAGGCATCAAACACTCTTGTAGATGCCTTGATAAGTGCCACCTCGGCTACATCTTTGGAACTGTCTGGGAATGCACTATCCTCTTCGGAGAGAGCTTGCTACGTTGGACTTCCAGAATCTAAAACTCCTGGGGTTTCAATGCAGCCTTGGTCCGATAACATCTGTCACTCTTCATTGTTCGGATTTGTACTTTTCCCGGATAGCATTGAACAATGGCCGGCCGGAGATTTCCAGTTCTCCAATTTTACGTTTTATAAAATTTACCTGTATGGGATGTATTACAACACGTAAGTATTTTTTTTTCCAAAATGATCTATACATTGAAGTATGTACCTTCTTTATAACAAAATTCACCTGTTTTAACAATATTGATGCTATCAGACTTAATTTTTAAACCCCCTTCTGCAACAATGCATGTTGTACCTTTTCGCATGTGGTCATATTTGTACAATTTTCTTTTATTTATGCACCAATCGATATATTTTTTTTACCAAAGTTAGACAACAAAATTCCAGGCCATATTGTCTATACTATTTCACCCAGAATAACAAGACTTGTTATAATGGCAAGTTCAATTTGTGTTGGTGGAGTGTCAAGTCAAAAAAGTAGGTCAAATTGACCTAGCTATGCCTGACCGTTGACCTCAAACTTTGAAAAAGTTTGTCAAGGGCATATTTTCTATACTATTTCATCTGATACAACTAGAGTTGGTATGCAAGTACATAGTCTCGGATTAAAGTGTTATGCCCCTTGGTGGAAAAATAAGTTTATATGGTTATACGTTCCAATATTAAGTTAACTGATTCTTATGAAACACAGCCCATACAAACTGAAGTAGTTATATTATGAAAATCGTAACAACAATATTACAAAAGTCTTAGAAGTATGTACCTACAAACCATGGATACCTCATAGAATTTGTCAAGTACGACAGAGGAAGGAAGTAGTGGCAGCAAGGTGATATCATTGTAGGAATGTGTGTGTGTGGGTGGGGGGGGGGGGGGGGGGCATACGTTATCCATTCATCTATCAACTCTTCTTACAAGTCTACTCCTCCTGAACAACAGATTCCGATTTTAACCATATTTTGTAAGAAGGTGGGACTATTCTGAGGCCTTTACAGGTGTCAGGACATTTAATGAAAGCAGTTTTTACCATGGAGTGGAAATATTAATCAACCAAAAACGTTTCGTTATATGTAGCTGTAGATAGGTAGTGTCATTATAAGAACTCTTCAGCGATGATATTTTATAAGAAAACGTTGACCTAAAAAAAGTGAAAGCTGTTTCTGCAGTCAGAAATGTTCTTTCATGCAGTGTTCCTCTGGGGTATTGTATTTGAAAAATTTAAGTTGGTAAATTATGGTGAAAGAATAGGACACTGGAATCAGATATAGTTTTTGAGGCTTTTAAGATATCACAGGTTGACAGTAACATGTACATATAGAAATGAAGAAATGTGGATTATTTAATTTCCATTTGAAAGTGAAATTCAAAAACATTAAACTATACGTTTTGTGACAAATAACACATCTCACTTCCTGGATTAAGATTTTTCAACAATCATTGGCTATACTGACCAGAAATTTCTTTCTTTTACAGACGTACAAGTATTACAATTTCAAAAAATAAATTCATTGATAATGGCATCGGTATCCTCCCGTTCCTCATTGGACCCTCAGCCCTGGAGCACCAGTTCGACTTGGATCAATACATCACGATAGAGAAATGTCTTTTTGTCGGTCATTCTGCTGATTACGACTGTACCAAAGATGTCGTCGACTCTACGGCAACTTATTACAAGATTTCAGTTGAGGGTACGGCCCCAGGAACTAAGGTTGAAAACAGACCTCATGCCTTCATTGGCATGGCTCTGCCATCTTGTACGTCTGGTACAAACAACAGTCCTCTGAAACCTTTAAACTACATTATGAATTATCAATCAATCGCCTGTCAATCAACAGTGAGAGGTAAGTATTTTACTGGTTTTGTTTCTAAACATGATTCCTTTTATAAGGCAGTAATATAAATGTCCAGAATGGCTTTGGTGTTTTGTTTATTGGACTAGTCTAAACATTGACTTGAACACAACTAAAACACAATAGGAAGGTATATACATATATCTAATTTGAGATTGATCCCTCCAGTACTTATTAAGAAGTTGCAATAACAAATTGTCTTCTTGTAGTTACATATACTGTCTGTGAACAACTCCTTTGGGTCGTTTTTGGATAAAGAGGTTCCTAAACCAGTGATGGTTGGTTATCATGTTTATCTAACTTGACTTACTGTGTAGTTTATTTACAAATTGTATAATTTATCATGTTAATCCAGGTCTTGTAAATCATAGTAAATAAATTAAATCAAATAGGATGAAGAAGCTAAACTAGAACTGAAAGCCACCCAGTTAAAGCTGTAAGCCGATATACATCCCCTGAAGACAGAAAGATTACTTCATCAATTTTCAAAAAAGGAGATTTGATAACGTAATTTTGAAAGAAAAAAAAGATAAATTAAGTACCAGCATACAGCTGTTGCTGTTGCTGTTTAACCGTCGTCGTCATCAGCCAGGTCCATCCATTGTCGAGGGTTTCAACCCCTAACCTGGAACTCTCTCCGGATGGTGGGTCAGCAGGCTTGATCAGTCCCTATACTCTTCCAGCTACTGTTTTCTCTCCTATTCTAAATAAATAAAATCAGATTTAAAGAAACACATTTATTTCCATTGGTATATATATATCCATTCCAATCTATTTCTAAACACATCACATGTTTCAGTTTCCATTTTTTTATGCAATGTCAAAATAAAATACGTCCATGAAGGATATGGTTGGAAATCTTATTTTTATATGGACCATCTTTGGCAAATATTACACATCTATCACCCGGAATAATCAAAATCAAAGAATACTGATGTGTGAATGGCTATGATAATCCTTGCAACATGTGAATAGACGTGAATGTATATGTAAAAACATTAGAAAGGATTAGAATATACATGTACCATTTTATAATAGATGTGAGCACACATATTTTACATTTATATTAACTGTTAATATGTTATAATAAATATAAGTATTATTTTACGTTAAATATAAGATGTAAATATGTAGTTATGTAACTTTTCCTGATAAACCTGGAAACTGCCGGGGTATATATATTTTACATTTTGAATTTATATGCAGAAGTTTTTCTAGATAAGTCTGAATACACATGCAACACACACAAAAATGGTTGAAAATATTTGTTACATTTTTGATAGATCCGAATATAAATGAAAAATCTGCAGTGAAGCAATATGATAATATATATGAATACAATTTCTTACCATTTATCATTCCAGGATGCACTTTTGCAAATTACAATTCGGATAAATGTGCAGGAAATAGACCAGTTGCCATCGCCACGCCCCCTAGTAACGATGACTACATTCATCCTTTACACATCAGCTCAACTCGACTATTCAACGTACACAGCAACAACAAAGGCTTTTTCAAGGAACCCACATTAAGGTCAGTTGAGTTAGAAAGTCTATTTCACTTTGCTTGCACTAAGTTGTAAACGCTAGCTTGTTAGCATGTTATGCCATGGCGCGGCGTCTAGCATCCGTTCGTCTTTTTGTTTAAACGACTTCTTGCGAAGATCCAAAAGGCCTAGAGTCATGATATTTGGCCAGTAGCATCCTATGATGGAGCCCGACAAAGTTTGCGAATGAAAATGACATTGACCTACTTTCAAGGTGTAACAGGGGTCAAATATGTCTAAACCTTCAAACAACTTCTTCTAAGATCTGAAAGGCCTGAATTCATGATATTTGGCCAGTAGCATCCTATGATGGAGCCCGACATAGTTTGTGAATGAAAATGACATTGACCTACTGTCAAGGTCACAGGGATCAAATATGGTAAAAACTTCAAACAATAACATCCTTAGAACCATTTAGACTAGAGTCATAATACTTGGATATGTAATGTATACCAGCTGTGGTAAAAAAAAACCAACAGTAATGAGGTCAAAGGTCAATTTAAAGTGCTAGCCTGAGTCAAAGGTCAACGTTGGTTAAAAGCTTTAAAATTAAAATTTCAAACAAAAATACAATGTATCTTAAGAACCGTTTAAGAGATGTTAAAATGCCTTGTGTTCTAGTTACCAAATTTGGTCTGAAGTAACCTATATGTAATGTAACAAAAGAAACAGGTGATACAGGCACTCTGGGCCTCTTGTTCTTATTGAGTATAACGAGAAACGACCCATTAAATGCTATGGCCATTGACACACGTACCTCAATGAGTGTAATCGATGCAAGTATGTCACTGTAAGTCCAACAACCCCAGAAAAGCAAGCCCAATGGACAACCTTTGGAATTTTCACTGATAATCCGACAGACAACCCTAGGCATTGTCGATAATAATCTGAAGACAAGATCTAGGAATTGCCACTGATGTTCCGACTGACAACCCGACAGTTCATGTATTAAAGGAATTAAATAGCAATTTAAAAGTAACAGACTGGAGTTATAGCTTGTTAAAAAGCAGGAATTAAATAGCAATTTAAAAGGAACAGACTGGAGTTATAGCTTGTTAAAAAGCAGGAATTAAATCGCAATTTAAAAGAAACAGACTGGAGTTATAGCTTGTTAAAAAGCAAGAATTAAATAGCAATTTAAAAGTAACAGACTGAAGTTATAGCTCGTTAAAAAGCAGGAATTAAATAGCAATTTAAAAGAAACAGACTGGAGTTATAGCTTGTTAAAAAGCAAGAATTAAATAGCAATTTAAAAGTAACAGACTGAAGTTATAGCTCGTTAAAAAGCAGGAATTAAATAGCAATTTAAAAGTAACAGACTGAAGTTATAGCTCGTTAAAAAGCAGGAATTAAATAGCAATTTAAAAGTAACAGACTGGAGATATAGCTTGTTAAAAAGCAGGAATTAAATAGCAATTTAAAAGTATCAGACTGGTGTTATAGCTTGTTAAAAAGCAGGAATTAAATAGAAATTTAAAAGTAACAGACTGGAGTTATAGCTTGTTAAAAAGCAAGAATTAAATAGCAATTTAAAAGTAACAGACTGGAGATATAGCTTGTTAAAAAGCAGGAATTAAATAGCAATTTAAAAGTAACAGACTGGAGATATAGCTTGTTAAAAAGCAGGAATTAAATAGCAATTTAAAAGTAACAGACTGGAGATATAGCTTGTTAAAAAGCAGGAATTAAATAGCAATTTAAAAGTAACTGACTGGAGTTATAGCTTGTTAAAAAGCTCAGTTCCATTTTGCAGAATAACAAGTGTATGAAAAGATAGGTAGACAAGAGCCAAACAGCAGAATGCCTCTATCATTAACTATGTAAAGATTGAGTTTTGAAACGTTTCCATTTACACACTGTTAAAGGTGAATTATATAGATTAAGGTTAAATATTGATTTTGTAAATTCAAGTGACATGACTCCCATATAAAGTATAGTTTGTGATATTCCTTAACAGCAAAATCAACCCGTCAGACTGTGTCGATATGGACTGTGATGGCTACAAAGCAGTGCTCATCAAGGACATGGACGGCTCATATTCTGGAACAAATGTCAAAACGGACATTTTTGCACTGGCCGAGTTTGAATATGATGGTGACCCAAGGCGTGGTGTTGGCAATTACAGAATTCCTAAATCGATGTTAACAGATCCTAACGGTGACCGAATTCCTTACACAACATTAGCCGAGTATCAAGGTAAAGTGAGAGCAGGTTCAGTTAGAAATAGAAAAGAACTCAAGTATTCGTGTACATAAACTTTCGTCATTGATGACGGGCAAACAGGTATTCCGTCTTTGCATATTGCAGATTTATCTTCTCTTGGGAGCAGGTTTTTATTTTTACGTCATTTGTTTGTGAGAGTAACGTCATCAATTTTTGAGAAAACGACGTAATTTTCTCGCTCAAACCAATGCCGTAACAATCAATACCTGCTCCCAAGAGAAGATAACTCTGCAATACGCAAAGACGGAATACAGATAGTGACAACACTGTTAAATTAAACATTTACAAAAAGAAATGCATATCTAACTTGAACTATAATATGGAAAAGATACGCAAAGATAATGCATCGTAGATAACAGTTAAATGCAAATCATCATATAATAATGGCACACTATCAATGACTTTCTTTTCGTAGTTGTTACATTATAAAATTTGTCACTCTTTTATTTAATGTTGTTGCATTTTACCATTTGACTGTAAATATAATTCATTGCATGCACGAAAAAGATGACTGTCTTCATTCTTTTTTCTTTATTCATAATGAGGGTATGACCCAAGTACAATCGCAAGACAACTTCTTTTCACTTGTTTGCACATGAACCTACTTATTGTTCAATTGTAATTTAAATATCTTTAGACCATTTCCATGGTCATTTCCGTAAATGAAAACAATCATATGGATGTTTTATGACGAGAGTGAGGCATCTCAAATTTTCCTTTCGTAACGCAATATACACATAGTTAAACGGGTTCAGTGTGGGAACAAGTAGATAGGTATGGAACAACATTAATCCTTTCACCCCTGGGTAACTTTAGTAGACTCTACCATGCATTTATGGGGATTAGTCCATTAATTATGGTCTACAGTGGTGAAAGGGTTAAGAGTGACAGGAAACATATATATACAGATGATCTATACAGGAATTCCGTGTAAGAAATTGATATGAAGGTGGTTGATTAACTGTCTCTAAAACATATTTTACATTGTAAGTACAAATAAACATATTCGGTCATACAAATACATGTGTTTTTATCTATTGGTCCAGGAATCCTACGTGATGATACGTGCGTGAAAAATGATGTCTGGCGAAGTTGGACCTGCACCGGATTTGAACGCCATCTTGTGATGTTAGAAAGTATGGATTCAGATACAGAAACTCGAAGGCTGTCCCCTGTTGCTCTGCAAAGCTATGACAATCAAGCAAAGGGCTACATAAACCTAATTAATGGCCCCCAAGATCACGGCTGGTGTTCCGGGTATACCTGCAAAAAACGCCTGTCCACCTTTCCATTGATAATGACTGCAGGTACATATTAATGATCATATCTTTGCTTCATGTTCCGATTTCACGGAATGTATGTACTAGATGGTTGCATTACACGAGCCATTATGCCCACACTACATAAAACTATAGTTGGTCGGTGTACTTACCTTACAAGATTACAGTAACGACCCCACAACATGTATATGTAGATGACCTATAGTAATAGTTGCGATGTGCGTCAACACCTGTTTCCACAGTCTACCACAAAACCAAGTGAACTAAAAAATGTCACACGTTGATGGATTATTGTATGTAGATGTTCTCTATGTTTGCAGCAATGTCACTAGGTCACTAATCAAAAATAGAACGGGTTATATGTCAAAAATGCATTGTATTGATAGAATCCATCCCTGATGTGATGTATGGATAAGGTTATTCAAGCCCTAAGGGATGAACTATTGAGCAGGAGTCCCGAGGATGGATTATATTTCTTGCTTATTACCTAAAACCCGAAAAAACAGCTGCTGTTCTAGTTAAGTTGTAAACTGTTTGCACATTTCTCATTTGCATATGAAGCCTGGATGGCAATTGTTAGTGACGTTAATGACCCTGACTGACCCCAAAACGTCATAAAACGAATAATAGCGTGACCCCGAAAGGTCACTATAATTGTGTTTAACGGCCCATCAACAACTATGGTCAGAATAGTTAATTTTCAGATGGGGCAACCATTTGAAAGAGCAGAATTAAAATCAGGCAAAACCATGTATATCTTAACATCATTTAAAGAAGTGAAATGGGTTTGTTGTGATGGGGACAAGTCTGTATCACAAATACCTTTAAAGACTGAACATTGTATTAAAAATGCTAAACTGTAAAATGTATGTAAGCTTTGTATGAAGTGAATATAGAATACCGTTCTGATTTGTCATAGTATTAAATATATCTCTATAATCAAGTTGATAGAAATCAATATTTCACTGTCAGAATTGTAATCAAAACACATTATTGTACTCATGTGATGTAATCACTGACATTACTGTATCTATACATGTACCATAGTCGCTACAAAATAATGTTTAATATAGATAATACTAACAATATCAATTTGTCGTAAAAGTCTCGTCTAATTTTCAGGTCGGAACCACTTATTGCACTTTGCATCAACATCACCCAAAAATCTTCGCCTCCATATGCTATGGGACGACAGCAACACAAAGATGGAGATAGGATTATATTACTCTTTCCCTAATAGCCTTGATGTTTACTTAGATGACCAGCACATACACCCAAAGAATACTTACCAAGAAAACGGAGAAACCGTTTATCGCCATCCCTCCGATAGTCCCCCTGGTGCATTCCTCCCTGATGTGGCTACTGATGGCTGTGGTACTAATTTCTACGATACGGAATGGCAGCTGCAATATATAGTGCTCTGTGGATCGACAAGGATTGACATCAAAACACGCGATGCTATTATGATTGGTTTATCCGTTCTTACTACTGACGACTTTTTTGGAGAAGAAATCGTCAGTAATTTGGCAACTTTCCTTGGAGTGCCCGAGTCGAAAGTTCGCATTCTAGATGTACAGAAAGCAGGATCAAGTAGAGGGAAGCGCTCAACAACTGGAACGACTTCGTATAACATTGAAATTGCTGATAGTCCTTGTTCCAATATCAACTGTACAGGTGAAACCCTGACCTTGACCAACGACGAATTGGTTACCATAGCAAGCAATGTCTTGAACGCATACCAGGTATGTTTCATAGAGAAATAAAATAATGTATATTGGAAAAAGATGCTGCACTTTGATGGCGTCATAGCTTGATGGGGTTAAAGGAATACTTTTAAATATAAAGATGTTGTATTTCGATTTATATGGTAAGCATTCTTTATGTGAACTTATTTCCTGCTAGTTCTTGCTTATATGAAAGTCATTATCGGTAAACGTGCAAGTAATTGTCTTGTGAACATCAAATCATAACTCTTCAGACTGATGGTTTTTTATCGTAGCTTGTCCGAAACTCAAAGGTGAAACTATGTCATACTGCGATGACCAGTTTTTCACAACCAAAGAACGAATTCCACAAATACATGGTGAAGAAACTAAAGGGCTTGTCCTCAGGGTTTTTTGCTCTTGGCTTTTATGGTTCTTGGCCATATTCCTTTAGATGATTTTTTTCCCAAAATTGGTATTGTCTGGAAATCAAGGATATGTTCTTTTCCATATACGTAAGGAGCAACTTATGTGGTGTTGAGTGTGGGTTTAATTTTGTTATCCCATTAACAAGTTTCTGACAGTTTCTGGTCCTTGATGAGACTCCACATATCCATATTAGCAAATGGCAGACTAAGTCGAACATACGCTAAGTCCAGAGATATATATCTGGCACAACAAAAGTCAGGGAATGGACGTATACCGCATTACGAAATTAAGGCAGTATAGAACCCTGGGTAATTTGATATGCCTAGTGCTTGAGCGAAAATCGAAACACATGATCATATGCCTTTATTTGAGCAGTTGTGAATTTATTTGTATTCCAAAGTTTCTTTCTTTGACTGTGCTTATCGGATACTGTTTCCAAAAAAGTGATGTTACAGCATAACGAAACTAATGTTAAGTGATAGAGTATCAAATACAACCATATCATGGTCAGATCAAAGAATAGAATATTTAGCGTGTAATAATAGGAGACATTGCCGTTGTATTATGCTATAGTTTATGAATGCTAGTGCTTTGGTTCTAAAATGCGTACAGTCAGAATGTAAAAGGTTCAGCTAAACCTAATGTTGGTTTTGTAACGGCTGCTAGATTGGTTTTGCTTTATTTTATTCCTCATAGATGTATTCCGTCTTTGCGTAGTGCAGAGTTATCTTCTCTTGGGAACAGGTATTGATTGTTACATCATTGGTTTGTGCGAGAAAATTACATCGTTTTCTCAAAAATTGATGACGTTACTCTCACAAACAAGTGACGTAACAACCAATACCTGCTCCCAAGATAAGATAACTCTGCAATACGCAAAGATGGAATACAGAACCTATTGTGAAGTCTGCCTTTTCAGGATTAAATCTATAGAAAAGAAACACTCACTCACACATGGTAATCCTATAGTGTCATTGACACTTAGATAATTTTGAACATATTTTAATTGAAATATTTTATATTGATATCAGAATGGCATCTTGTCCTCACTCATGAACGTCACGATCAACAGCATGAGTATCACGGAAGTGGTACCTCCGATTGACAATCCCAGCTGGCAGGAGTTTGTGGAAGCACAAAACAACAAACGCATTGTTCAGTTTATAGACACCTTTGAGTTCTACAGCCCTATTACAGCAGGGGCCGAGGGCAATGTCTTCCCGCAGCAGCCGAAACTTCACTTCACTGATTCTGCCGTAAGTTAAAACATACTATTATTCATGTGATATTTAACAGAGAACAATTGTTCCGATTCTCAGCATTAACACATTTCATATTCTCTTTCTACTTCATACAAACATTAGGTTATATTCTTCATCACTGTTTACCTGAACATGCTTAATTTGTCCTGACCTAAGACTACCGCCTGGTGAATCATATAACCTCCTTTGCGCAAATCACGAGAGTACCATTTGTTGTTTGTACAAAAATGATTTAATTGTGATGGAGCTGTGCTTATGAAATGTAAACTATTGTATCACCGGTTGTCAACATAAACCATACATTATTGCAGTGAAAAATAAGTGTACGTTCATTGTCTTTTCTCTATTGTCAGTCATCTAGTTAACATTACTCAATACTGCAAGTCCTGGAAATTTATTTGTTAATTTCAAACTCAGGTTGTTATATATAAAATCTTGTTTAAAACCTCCTGACATCAGATTTGATTTATATTAAGATATTATGGTAACATAAATTTCTACACCTGACCACGCTTAGGTGGTTAAAGGACAGGTTTAAGTGTCACAAAGTCAAATACATACTTTGTGTTCCCGCTCACTTGTGTTTTATGGCACATACAAATGCATGTAAAATGGTAGCAATTATTTGACGTGATAGCTTTGTCCTAGGAATCACTTTCTATAACATTTTCGCTCAAGCGCAATGCCTGGCGAAATCAACATATATCTAATGCGGCTATGGCAGCCTACACGAATACAACAGCAAATATAATCATTTCTGTTCCTTCAAGATATCCCCCGCTTTCACCGAAACGGGATATTAATTTGGGTTTGTCTGTCTGTCACGCTTCGTTTCCATGCAATAACTACACAAATGTTAACCGATTTTCTTCAAACTTTGTCACAGGGTTAAATGCCTTCAGGGCTCGGACAAGTACGATGACCACTCTCAGCGGACTTCATTTGGCGGAGCTATGGCCTCTTGAATAACGACAAACATCATAATCTCCCGTTTCTGTTCATTATCTCTCGCAAATATTATCTGATTGTCTTCAAACTTAGTAACAGGGTTCAACGCATTAAGGGCTTGGCCAAGTTTGACAACCACTTTAATCGGACTCCATTTGGCAGAGTTATGGCCCCTTGATTAACGAAAAATGTCATTACTGCAGTTTCCGCTTAATAACTCAAGCAAATATTATCCAAATTTCTCCAAACCTTATTACAATGTTTGTGTTCCTCTGTCTTTCCACCCATCTCGGGCACTCTTTGTTTTTTGTGTGATAATTGCTGTACATATTGTTAAGATGTTTTAACCAAATTCCTTATGCACATCCAACTCATGCTAAGTTTGCCAACCGATGTGATTTGTGCATATTTACGGATAATCATTGAGGTATAGGGCTTTTTTTTCTTCAAGTTTCAAGCTATACATTATGTCTCAACAGCACGATACTCACCTGTTTATACCTAACCTCGATAATGTTAACCTACAATATGTCCTGCAAGCGGGGGATATAAATTCCACAAATTTGCTTGTTATTATTATGTTGAATTATATTCTAAATGACCACTCAACACAGAAGAGGCCATTAGGACAATAAAAGGCCGACAAAACATGCTTAAGGAAATGACAACAAACGGGTAGAATTTTGACATGTAAGAAGGTCAAGGCAATCTAACAGCAGGTGTTTTACTGTTAATGGTTCGTAACATGCTTTGCATTGAGGCTGGCCATGGTCTTCGCGCCCCAATAAATCAGCAAGATAATGTATGAATAACCCATCATGCTGTCACTTAACCGTAGTTGGTACTTAAGAGACATACCGTCATTATTATTATTGTTATTGTTTGACAAATATCTTCCAATTCTACATAACATGTGAGTTGTAGGTAAAAATGTTTTATATACTTAACGGACTAACGAACAATAATAAGTATTAAAGCATTGTTAATTAAGATTATGATGCGATAAACATTGGCTGCATAATATGTGACCTGGGAATTTTGTCTTGCCTTGCAGGGAGCACATGTGTCCTCGTTGGGTGTAGCCGCAATACCGTGGCAAGTTCAGGCCGTTTTGCGGTCAGGCACAGGGTCAAACGTCTTGGCGTCCTTGACAGGAAACACCACTGTGGATTTTGTTGGCGGCTGGGCAAACTTCTCTGACCTCTCACTTAGCCATAGTGGATCTGGATTCATCATTGATTTCAATATCATATTCCCGGAGTCGAACTACACTTTAGAATCTGCCCCTCTACAAGTGACCTATCGACCTTTCAAAGTTGACTTGGCGTACACTGCCGGTAATGTCTATACGAACAACCCACATGAACTTAGGTTCAAGGTTGTAGATACCACTACCAACACAAAGGTGGACAACTTGGTATGGAATGTAAGTGTGAACATTTAAATACACTTATTTCAATAGTAGGTTTATTTATATATATGTTCATGACATAATATTGCAGGAATTTCAATTAACAAAAGAAATATCTGGCAGTAAATTTGTATGACTGAAAATTGGGGATTTTCAAGTGAGTGTAGAGGATAACCTGATATGAAACGCACTTAAGGGCTGACGTTACTGGGCTCCTCTAACTACTAAACAATGTATATAGAAGGTGTATCCGTTATGACATTGCGAAAAAAATCATTAACGAAAATAAGCTCTGAATGTAATGATTAGTGGAAATAGCCTTTGCAGAGGATATTCAACGCAAAAATTTAAACAAAAATGTACAGGTACCAGTCATTATGTGCCGTAAAATGCATTCTTACTGTCATTTGGACAATAATCCCTGCATCGTGAAGGACAAATCACAAGGTCTGTTTTTAGTTTGTTGTACTTTTCCTTTACTGTTTATATATAGGCTTCTAATCAACTTGTGAGCAAACGTTTTGGAAATACCTAGATCACTTTCCACTTCGCATAACATATGTGTTTGAGGCCTTTGGCTTGTTAATTGGGTATGCAAGTCATCTCAGGGTATCAGATTGTATCAGTTACATTAACATACTGTCTCCAGAATAGATATCTCCAAATGACCTTAATGGTAATAAGAAAGGTTTGTTGGGTTATATGAGGTTTAACGCCCTCACAACAGCCATGTATTGTCAAAATGAAAGATCAGAGAAGTGATAAAAGAAAATATATAACTATCTATTACACATGTTTTAAGGTGCAATAAACTGTATTGATCTTCTATTCTATTCTGGAATAGAAGCAGCAGATACATTGTTTTTCTATTGTGCTTTTTTCCCCACATAGACAAACGATTATACAAGTTGCTCCACTTTCCCACCTTTTATAACAAACCAAAAGTGAGATTCAGCATCTGTACTCTTTCCATGAAGATAAAGGTTCAACCGATTGCAATTTTAGCTCACCTGGTCCGAAGGACCACAGTGAGCTTATGCCGTGGCGCAGTGTCCTTCGTCCTTCGTCGTCCACCTTTTCTTTAAAACGTAACAAATAAATGAGGTTGGTTCGACCCCTGAGGCCAGGGGGGCGGGGCCCTGAAGGGGAACTTAGCTAAATTTGCTTTAAAACGCATCTCCTCCTAAACACCATAGAGGATTTCAACCAATTTTAGTCTGAAGCATCACAAGGGAAGAGCAATTATTTCTCAATTAAATGAGGTTGGTTGGATCCCTGAGGCCAGGGGGGCAGGGAATGGAAACTTAGCTAAATTTGCTTTAAAACGTATCTCCTCTTAAACGCCGGAGAAGATTTCAACCAAATTTGCTCTGAAACTTAATTATGGGAGGGCAATCATTTCCTAAATAAATGAGGCTGGTTCGACCCCTGGGGCTAGGAAGACCGGGCCCAAAAGAGGAAAATTATCTAATATTTTGCTTCAAGACGCTAATACCTGCTAATTGCCTGAGAGGATTGCACAAAACTTGGTCAAAATCATTATTGAGGCAGAACAAACATTTCTTAATTGAATGAGGTTGAGTTGACCCCTGCAGTCCTAAGAAATGGTACAGCTAGATTATCACATTCTATGGTGTAGTTTTCATAAATTGTGAAAAATTGGTTTCTATGTTTATAAAAGCTTATAGTTGAATGAAAATTAAAGTATTGTCTAATAACACCCTGTAATATTACCTATTACCTATTTCAAAATCTGTTAACATGGCAACTTAGTGGAGGCCCCTGATTAGTTGAAAGTCAGATATTGTGGTCCCAGTATGGTTAGAACATAGATCTTGTATGGTTTTGAAGAAATTTCATATAAAGATGTAGTAATGCATTAAGTTGTAATGACTCATATATAAAACCAGGTGAGCGATACAGGTCCGATGGACCTCATGTTTAAATATTAATAAAAACGTAGAGCATAGAAAATTCCAATTTGGTTGTTGTTCATGTGAGAAAATTAAACAGCATTCTTGTTCAACCTTGTTAAATATAAATATGCTTCATTTTCAAACATTGACTTTTTCACAGGGTGGTGTTTGGATGGCCACGGTAACCACTTCCGCTAGTAGTGGCTATGGCGGAGCTTTCAGCGGGACAACGTCCGTAAACTTCGACCCTAGTACTAGTGAAGTGAGTTTCAACGACCTTCAATTCGACACTATCGGTATCCAGGTTTTGACAGTCACGGTCACATCAACAACAGGCTACAATCTAACCATGGCGAAGGAAGTGATTGTAATGCATTCCGCTCTCCAGTCGATGGTGCCAGAAGTCTCCCAGGTCTTAGCTGTTAGATATGACGTTGACTTCAGCGTATATGGAAATTTGGATTTTGCCGCTGGAGCATTCATGAACGAAATGATGGCCAAATTCCCTCTTATTGCATTTTCCGACCTTTCTGTCGCCGAAGGTTTGTTAATTTTGTGATTAATAGTCCCCAAATAGTACAATTGGAGAGCTATAGGTTTGGACTTTACCTCCAAACAGTACGTCCCTAGGATATAATTATGTGTATGATTAAAATGCAGTGCATTTAAATTGAAAATAATCTTACCAGCGCAGATACGACAGTCATACCAAGCCTCAAGAAGAACGTAAATAATACGAAAATAATACATTCATAAATATGATTAAAAGTCATTAAAATAGATATTTCTAAATTTTGTTCTTTTCATTGTACAAAAATAAGAGAATACCGAAATTTCAACCAAACAATATTTCGATCTCAAAATCCGAGAATAAGACCATGTGTTCCTGAAGGGTAAATCTCATTTGATTAATTGATGACACCCGCCATGTAAATCTAAGTCGAATCCGAGAAATGTACAAGATTGATGTTTCTGTATCAACACATGATACTTTTTGTCTATAATTGGCATATCTGATCAATATAATAGGCCCAGCCATATGCATGTTAAATTAACGACGAAATGGCTGATCCTATGAATGTTTTTTCCTCCAGGAAGTGTAATAATCACTGTCACCATCTCTGGTAACACGACCACAGTGACGGAGGTTACGACCGGTATATGTAGTGACATTTCCTCAGGATCAACATTCACCTACAACGGTGCCACGTTTTCCTTATCGTCCACAATGACTGTCAACAGTCAACAGTACTACGGGGTCAGCTGCGAGAGCGAGGTCAGTCAAACGTTTTACAACATACTTCAGCTAAATGCATTACACTAAGGGTTCATAATTTACACATCAATGGCACCTTGATCCCTAACACGTGTACTCATCTGTTACACTTTTTTCTTACCAGTATTTGTTCATTGAGATATTGTATTAACTCATTCACCCCTGAAATTTCATTATGACCTATTCCAACCTTTGAATTGGAGGAGTTCAAATGTGTCTTCAGGGGTGAATGAGTTAAGGGTCTTTCAATCCTTTGCCATAAGAAGTAATAATTTTGTAAATTTTAGCATATGTGGGCCTGGAGAAGATTGTTGACAAGTTTAACCAATTTTATCCTTTTTGGTCAAGGCACTAAGGCCAGGCCCTAGGGGTTAGACAGTGTCGTCATTTTCATACTAATGCATTGCAGTCAATTGATAATGATTTCAGCCAAGAACAAGAGATCGGCAACCCGAGCATAATATAATACTGATTAAGAAATGCAGGATCTTACCATCCATCAGGAGTACTTGATTCTAGTATATCTGGAACTTACCTTTTTGGACATTTCACAATTTCTACCGCCTAGCCAATTGGGATGTTATTCGTTTAAATCACAAATTTGATTCGTCTTTGGCAATGGGACTTTCTGCGAAATTTTATTGAAACTGCTTCAAAAGTGCTGGAGAAGGGTTGATTGTATATTAGCTCAATAGGCAGTTTCAAAGGAACATCATCCTATACTTCCAATACTAATTTAAGAAACTTGAGATGGAATGAGATAAAACTAAAAAAAAAATATTTGTATTTCAGGAGACATCTGACTCGGACAGTTCAAGGGTAGCACTCATCATTGGCCTTGTTATCGGAATACTGTCAGTACTTGCACTGATAGGCATCTTCCTCTTCTGGAAGCTCAAGATTGTTCCTAAGACAAAGACACACAGTAAGTTAATTCATTGATTGTAATTTAGTCAACGACTGAATGTTTGCACTTAATTCAGTAGTCTGCACTTAATTCAGTAGTCTGCACTTAACTCAGTAGTCTGCACTTAATTCAGTAGTCTGCACTTAATTTTGCATAAAGGCAAATCATGTTTCAAGTAACTCTCAACAATAACACTTCATCTAAAACATGTCCTTAGAGCAGAAGATATGGATTCTACGAATTTGCTTGTTTTTACAAATCTTCAGATCTATATGGCGTAGAGTATTGATACTTCTCATACGGCTTGCTGGATTTATAACTACCACAATTGTTCATTGGAATAAACGGCTATGAAGTTTTATCAAAATGATCCGTTTCTTTTAGCTGTTTGGGAATAAGAGCTACAGCCTCAGTTTGAACACATGCAAATGACCCATTTTGTCCAATATCAGTGCGGATTTCATAATGATTGTCATCTCTTCTCCCGTGTATAAAGTGCTATTGAATGTTTTATTGTGCTATTGAATGCCATTTCATACACTTAATCACAAGCTTGAAAATTTGTTTATTAATGTATCAAATATCTTTTTGAAATTTGTTTTATTCCATATAGTAATATGACATAACTACGTTAATTTTAACAGAAATATCCAAGGAGGACGAGATAAGGTACATCGGGACGATGACACCTGCAGAGGACATCTTGTGGCGCGAACAGTCGTTCATGAGTATCCGCGAGAAAAGTTTGCCAGAACGACAAATGCCAGGCCTCAGCACACAGATCAGCGGCCGTAGCACACCCATGTATTAGACCTCCACTTAAACAACCAATGACAATACTATTTTGCAGTGTTTTTTTTATATTTTCTTCTTTTTAGACTAAATTTAAATTGAATTCAACATGCAGTTCCCTCCACATCAGCATGACAACCAATATGTGTAATAAGACCATTATACTCTCTGTACAAATGATGGAGGCGGTCAACTATATCATTTTAGAAAAATAATCTTTACAGACCTTATAATTAAGATTTTTGAGATGTTCATCAAATGTACTTCCAAAACAATATAAGGCACCGATATATCTCATATTTCATAAATTTGCGTGTATCAGGATTTGTTCATATGATTTAAACATTTTTATTTTTGATAGCATTTTTGTCGGATATCCTATTTATTTTCGTTAAAACTGTAGCAGTTGGAATTTGGAAAATGACAAATTTATTTGTTATTTCAGTTGACATAAAAAAACGAAATTTTATAATAAATTATTTAACAGTTACAGTAAAGTTTAACGAGACCTACAGTATAAAATGTTTATGTTACTTTTAATTACTGTTAACTTAAGCGGTCTTGATGAACCTTTTTTTACTTATTTACGAAGTTGTAGATTTACACTTGACATATATAGATGTATTCTTTTATTTCTTTAATTGTGTGTCAGGTTGAAGACATTTTGTATTGTTCTATTGAACCTCCTATTATTTATGAAAGGTAAGATTTGTGTCATTAAATGACATTGGATTCAAAATGTTTTCTTAAAATACCTGATAAATGCTTCTCTGCAAAATTGAGAAACAAATTCGTGAATTTCAAAATATGAATAGACTAGAAATAAACTTTATTAAACCATGAGCTTATCAAAGTCGTACATGCGATTGACCTTTCAACCTGAGCTAAACATAATACTATTAGGTCATCTTGTATATGTATATGACGGTTGACCAGACATGTTATAATATGATATCATGTATACGCTTGACTGATAATGGTATAATATATTTCCTGCCAGGGGAAATAAATATGAGAAGGTTAGTTCGAAAACAGGCCTGCGTATGCAGGTGGAAATGATGACTTGGCTCATTCAAATTATATCATATTTAATCATTTAGACATTTTATTAAAAAGTTTACGCTACGTCAAAAGCATTGAGAATCTAATTTGTTTAGGATTTGGAAATGAAAACATGAAATTTGAATCGGAATTATTTTTATGCAGTTTGAACTGATAGACTTAACATAATAGTATTTCTGTTCAACCTGAACTAAACAAGATATGGTGTTCTGTCATCTTGTTTTATATATGACGGTTGGCCGCATAATTAGTTGTGCAATGTAATGTATTGCAGTTATTTTTTATGAACTTACCCATTTCTTTAAGACGGAAGCTGTATTGTGCAGCCGAAGAAAACATAATCCATACAGAACACCAGTACATGTAGATATATAATCTGATATTATAAAGCGTGTTGTTGATTGTATTAAATTGTATGTCATTTAAAATTGGAATTTAATTTATCGACCATGCAGTGAAAAATAATGTATAATTATTTCAGGGTTGTAAAACAAGCAACTGAACAATTATGTAGATAATATATGTAGGCCTTTCTGCACTTCAATATTGTAACATAAATATGTTCTGACATTTGATATTGGTATTTTTTCTTTTTAAACAATAAATGAAAATCTTCAGGCAAGTTCAAAATGTCAATAAACATGACTGCTTCATAAGCATTTGTCTACAAATAAAAAGAACAGTAACGAAAATCTTGACAGTAAAATAAAATTTCAGATAATTTTTATATTTTGATTTTAAAAACGAACTGTAATCCATATGATGCCAGTTACTTTGTCAATAATGTAGAATATGCGGTTAGAGGTATTGTGTCAATTTTTGTGACGTGTATTCCGTCTTTGCGTATTGCAGAGTTATCTTCTCTTGAGAGCAGGTATTGATTGTTTCGTCATTGGTTCGTGTGAGAAAATTACGTCGTGTTCTCAAAAATTGATGACGTTACTCTCACAAACAAATGACGTAACAATCAATACCTGCTCTCAAGAGAAGATAACTCTGCAATACGCAAAGACGGAATAATGTGGTTGGCCACAATATTTAGCACCAAACCTTTCACAATTTGAGATTTTAGTACTACAAAACTCTTACGTGACATATAGTCATTGAAAATGTTAGCTCTTCTTCATATATATTTACTGTTAACCGACACAGTTGAATGAATTAATGTGAAAAAAATGAAGAGATGTGCACTTGGAAAAAATGATGTGTTACAGTATTTTTTCCATTTTTCAAATATGATAATGCTTTAAAATGAAATATATATTATTTTTCGGAAAAAAATGTACGTTGTTAAATTTCTGTTTCTAACATGACATTGTCTTTCATATTGCCATAGCTGTGATACTTGTTCTACTATTTTTATTGTTTGTATTCAATAAAAAGCTTGACGTTCAGTTAATTTTTGTTTGAGTTTAACTACATGTCCCGGTAGACCGGAAATGAAAAGGCCATATGAAGTCTGGTGATTAAGGAAACAATGCCGCGAAGAAAGACTTGGTCAGGGTTTATAGGGTGTAACCTCCTGTTAACATCTAGGATTTATAATGGATGCGTTTCCGTGGGTGTAATGTATGTGCAGTAGGATGCACATTTTTGTGTATTTGTGTATTTGCATCCTTGCAACAGCGCGGATCTGATACCAACTAGTTAGAAGTAGAGTGAACTATAATAACACAAACAAAACAGCTGGTATGTAGAGTATAAAGGCAAACATGTTATCAGTTCCGGTTCATATTTGGCCATTACCTAGGAAAAGCCATGGAAGGCCTATTTCCAATGATTTGGTTTGGTTTGATTTAATTTTGTTTAACATATCCTACATGAATAAACATAACAGCAAAGGTCATTTAAGGACGTGCCTCCATGTGTGTAGTGTATGTGTGTATGCAGGGACAGGGTATGCAGGGTATGTTGGTGTGATAGCGCGGATCTGATGCCAACTTTATAGTGCTATCATCTCACTGAAATACCGTGCCGAAGCCACCAAGCACAGCATTCCGACCTGTCACATTATACTGACAACGGGTGAACCAGTAGTTGCCATTCCCCTTAATGCTGAACGTTAAGGCGGGGATAACTACCATTTTAGGACTTTGGTATTTCCAATGAGGTCCCGCACAGGTGTATAGGTGTAAAAAAATAATGTATGTACATGCTCTGACTTAGCAGTAATTGACATGATGAAACAAAAGACAATATTCCAGCCAGAATTACAAATGCTCATTTAATATGGAAATTTTCTTTCAAAACAAAACGATGTATCCGACAACACAGTGGCAATAACTGACATCACACTGACAACACAATGGTAAGGAGAAAAATGTGTTTCCAGTGTACTGTCAGCTTCTGGATTCATACTGGTAAGAACTGCCCTATCTGACTATATACGGACAACAAACTGGATTTGGAAGGGCAATAAGTAGTTTATTTATGACGACACACTGCCAATGTTTCCAGTGCATTGTCAGATTGCCATCTTATTGACAATACACTGAAAATAAATTGGTTTGAGAAGGGCATTAAATACACATTCATGATTGTATGCAGTGTTTTGTCAGTTTTCAAGTATATCTGACTATATACTGGCAATGATGGACTTAGAAAATAAATTTACTACAGATTCTTAATCATCTGGCAATTCACTGACAACAAACTGGGCAAGAGATATATACTGTATCCAGTGTGTTGTCAGTATTAAACTATCTTACTAAACACTGGCATAATTGACTTGTAAATGTAAAATTTTAACTAACTGTACAATGGCAATAATTACTACACACTGGCAATAATGACCTTACAAATTAACTGTAGATTTTCAAAAGGATCCATCAATACAAGATACATGTTTTATTCACAAACTCGAACACTGACAGGTCGGTAAGGGCCCCGTCTTGTGGGAATATATCCCCCATAATCATCAAGAAGCAATCTGCCCATATAGATGAGCTTGTCGTGTGATATTTGGACTTCAAAAAGAATCGCAAGGAAGCAAAATATATATTTTACATGTACTATGATGCAAGTCTTGTTTCCTTCCACCTCCATATTTGCTGGGCTAACAGAAATATAAATACCGGTGCAATACTCATTTGTTAGCTTTGATTTGTTTTATTTCACCTTCAATACCTCCTCTAAGAGCAAGGGTCAAAGTCAGAGATCCACTTTGTCTTTGACCTTTTGACCCAAATGAACTTGACCTTTAACCCAGTGATCCTGATATTTGGTCGGATGACTTTTTCTTCAATTCTGACCAACTTTTGCTTCATAATAAAAAAATAAATGTTCATCAGTAAAAAGATACAAAATTTGACCTTGACTTTTGAACCAGTGACCTTTGGTCAAATGACTCATTGTTTAATTCCAACCAAGAATACTTCAAAGTGTCATAACGAAATGTTCACCAGTGAAAAGATACTTAATTTGACCTTGACCTTTAACCACATGACCTTGACCTTAAGTTAGTTGACTCTTTGTTAAATTCCGAACAACATCGCGTCAAAATGTTCATCAGGGAAAAGAAACAAAATTTGACATAGACCTCTGACCCGATGACCTTGACTTTTGGTCAGTTGACTCAATATTTAATTCTGATCAACATTACTTCATCATGTCATAACAAAATGTTCATCAATGAAAAGATGCAAAATTTGACCTTGACCTTTGAACCTGATGACCTTGACCTTTGACATCGACATTTTACATCAGTGTATCTTTTTGTTCAATTCCGACCAACTTTGCTTCATAATGTCATAAAATGCTCATTAGTGAAAAGCTACAAAATTTGACCTTGACCTTTGGTCAGTTGACTCCTTGTTCAATTCTGATCAACTTTGCTCCATCATGTCATAACAAAATGTTCATCAATGAAAAGATGCAAAATTTGACCTTGACTTCGGAACCTAATGACCTTGACCGTTGACCTGGACTTTTTTCTCATTGCGTATTTTTGTGAACTTAACATCTTGACCAAGTTCCATGTAAATTGGTCAATAAATACCAAAGTTATTAGCCAGGAACAAAATTTGTGGACAGATGGACAGACAGACAGATCGATTACTATAGGGCACCCGTATCAGAGATACGCGGCCCTAATAACCTTAATCATTGATCAATTGAAACCTTGTTCGATTCTGACAAACCTCGATTTATAATGTCATAATAAAACGTTAACCAGTTAAGAGATGTAAATCTGACCTTGAACTTTGACCCAATGACCTTCAGCTTTGGTCAGTTATTACAGATATACCTTGTTTGATTGTGACCAACTGTGCTGTATAATGTCAAAACAAAATGTTAAGCAGTTAAAAGAAACAAAATCTGATCTTGGTCTTTGATCCGATGACCTTGACCTTCGATCAGCTGACTTCTTGTTGTATTGTGACTAACTTTGCTTCATAATGTCATAACAAAATGTTTACCAGTTAAGAGCAAAAAAAATTGAATTTTTTAATGTGAAAATCCAAGATGACTGATTAGCAGCCATTTTGAATCCGATCTGCCTGAAAAATTACCAAGCAGAACAAGGATGCATGGGAAATTATCATGTAAAAATTTAACAAGAGGCCCATGGGCCTAAACGGTCACCTGAGTCTACAGTATTTATTTTTGTTGTTGAAATATGTACCAATTTGAGTAAAAAATAGTATAATGTTAACTTAACTTTGTCAGGACCATGAGCTGATCATTCCTAGACCAATTTTAAGTGAGATCGGCCTATTAGAACTTAGTAGCAAAATAGCGGCCATGGCAGCCAAATTGTATTTCTGATTGACCCGAAAAATAACAACACTTTGTCAGGACCATGATTCGATCATTCCTACAAAGTTTCAGTTCAATCGGCCAAGTAGATCTTTACTTTAAGTTTGAAATAGTTTTCCAAAATGGC